CAATGAGATATGTCAGTGGTGACGAACCTATGGCACGGGTGCCAGAGGCGTCACTCAGAGCCCTCTCTGTGGGCACGCGCACTGTCGCCCTAGGCCTTCAGCTGGGTTTTATAAAACCTTTTCGCTTTAGGCCTCCACCACCATGTGCAAAAAAAAAAAAAGGTTCAATCAATCAGTCAATTTCAACTTCTCGCAGGAAAAAAAAAGATCTTGCAAAGTTGGAATTGTTTGAACTTTTTAGTCCCACCCAGTCTGCTGTTACCACTGCAGCCATGCCCACCCAATGGGCCACACCCACCCAATGGGCCACACCCACCCGGCACCCGATGATGCATAAGTGGGTTTTGGGTTGCAGTTTGGGCACTTGGTCTCTAAAAGGTTTGCCATCACTGAGATATGTTATAAACATGGCATGGCATGGCAATTGGTCAAATCATTTTCTCAAAAGCTACTATAAACAATATCATTTAGGTAAAAATTTCACAGAGTCAAAGAGTACAACCAACTTGTTTATAAATATATTGAACAACATGAGGCCTAGAGAAAAGCCTTGGGGTATACCACTTGAAATTTCCCATTAGCATGATATAAAATCACTAGCATAAACTTGCGGGATATGGTTTTTCAACAATATCTGTATCTATCTAGATGACATCCAAGGTCCCTTCCAACTTTATTATCTAATGCTAGCATAGTGCAGTCCACATTTTGCTTTTGTTTCTTGCAGAACCTCATGGGAGATTTGTTGAATACTTTGCTGAGGCCGTGTGTGAGTTCGCCCATCCAAATACTATTCGGGATTATGCCTACCAGTTTCAAAGCTCAGCCAGGGTTGATCAGATGTTGCCACCCACTGGGACCACCTTTGTCTAAAAATGCAGTGCTATGGCCCATCATCTGAATAAAATCTTGGAATTCTGATACTAGTACCTAGTATTGAAATCTTGGTGGAACTAGATTCTGATCCTGATAATATATATTTCCTCGCTCGAGCCCATGAGAATACTGACCCTATTACAGGGGTCTTCAAACGTGGCTCTTTTATGACTTGTGGACTTCAACTCCCAGAATTCCTCAGCAAACGTGCCAAGTTTGAAGACCCCTGCCCTACTGGTGTCAAAAACCAGAGGCAAGAAATCAAAGGCATGCTTAATTGTTTGGAAGAGTGCTTTCCACGGGAGCACTCTATTTGAAAATAGTTGCTACTGGGATTACTTGCTGACCTTGAGCTGCTTCTTAATTCATGGAGCAAACTTTGACCACACTCTTGCCTACTGCCTATGTCAGAGTGATAGTTTTTGACTCAAGATTCTTTGCTGAACACTTATTTGTAGTTTAATATACAGGTAGACAACCTGGTGCCATACAAATTCCTTAGGCAATAACTTCCATCTGCTCCCTCTAATATGTTCAAGTCAGGGAATGCAAATGTAAAGCATCCAGAGGATGCCTGATTTGTTTATCTATGTAAAAGCAAATAATATTAAACATAGAGTGGAAAAGAGTACCATTCTCTTAGTTGTATAGGAGCATGAATTCTCCCACTCTTCTATTGACTGCCATTAAGAAGCAATTAATTCAGTAGGACCTAGCACAGGAAGACAAGAAGAAACATTACCATTGGCTTCTTCCATCAAGTTCCTATTACCTCTGTACTCTATATTCAGTTAGCCGTTATACAAATTGATTGATTTTTGATTATGTGGCATCAAGCCATTTTCAACTCAATCAGAATAGAGCTGGAACAGACCTTGGAGATCTTGTAGTCCAACTCCTTGTTCAAGCAGGAGACCATAAACAATTTCAGATAAGTGGCTGACCAGTCTCTTCTTAAAAACCTCTAGTGATGAATCATCCACAATTTCTGAAGGCAAGCTATTCCACTGGTTAATTATTCTGTTGGGAAGGTTCTCCTTAATTCCAGGTTGCTTCTCTCCTGGATTAGTTTCCATCCATTGTTTCTTGTCTTACCTTCTGGTGCTTTGGAAAATAAATTGACCCTCTCTTCTTTGTGGCAGCCCCTCAAATACTGGAATGCTGCTATCATGTCAACTCCTAGCAACCATATAAATAGACCAGCAGAAATCAAGCTTGATGTGGATATATGTATTGATGTTGGTAACTTCTGAAACAAATTAAGCACTGAGTTTGTGAGTATTGTTATTTAGGAAATAATGCACTGCTTGAAGAACTAATATGATTAGCTATATCATGCCAAACCAATCTTATCTCCTTTTTTGATAGAATGGCCAGTTTAGTTGATCACAGGAATGTGACACACACATGACTTCAGCAAAGAATTCAATGTATCTCCCTTGAGATTCTGCTAAAAACAATAGCAGAATGTGAGTTGGGTTATGCTACCATTAGATACAGAGGTTGATCCCTAATCCTGTCTTTCAAGTCTTCCAATGGTGTATTCATTGCCAACATAACCGAGTCAATCTGTCCACAAGTTAATAATGCTGGCCTCAGATTGCTCTCTCAAATATTTCTCCCCAATTCTTTTCCCCCCCATGATATCTTTTAAATTAATTGCTTTTGAGAAAGTATTATTCTTCTTCCAAAGAATAGTTGGCACTGCTGAAAATTTGCCACCTTCAAGCATTGTCACAAAGGCTAAGAACTGTTCAAATACCAAGCAGCGTAATATAAGATCTCAAGCAAAACTATTTTTTTATAAATGTTGTGAGGTCAATTAATTCTAATTTTGTCAGCTGTTTTGACAATTCTATTGTTACACCTCCTAATGCTCCAAATAACTGTTGGGAAAAAGTTTGCTGCTTTATTCCATAATTTAAATTGTTAAATTTTAATACTTTTCCAGTTCCTTTTGAGCTACTCTGTGTCATTTGGTATTGTTATACTAGAAGTAGCTTATTTTTCTTCAGCTACATAATGTCTTGGGTATTGTGTTCTAGATATCATTCTATTTGAATTTGGGAATCCTTTAACATTTTTACATGTCATTTTGGAACTTTTTTGACATCAGGATGACATAATATTTTGGGGATATCAAATCCATACCTTTTACAGGCAGCCTTGGTTAACGACCACTCATTTAGCAACTGTTCAAAATGTTAACAGTGCTGAACAAATGATATTTACAATCAAGTCTTGAAGTTATGATGGTCCCAGCAAGCCCATAGTCACGTGGTGGTGATCCAGGTGCTTTGCACCTGGCTCACACTTACAATGGTTACAGCCTCCATTACATGATTTCCATTTGTGACTGCAGCTTGTCGTGAAATCATAATCATGAGTGGTCACCTGAGTGCCTGGATCTTGATTATGTGACCATGGAGGAACTTTAATAGCCCAAATTTTGAGGACCAGTCACAGTCCCGTTTTTCATATCTGCCATAACTTTTAATGGTCGCTAAATGAATGAATGTAAGTTGAGAACTACCTGTATTTGATTTGCCAGCTATTAGTCACTTGATTTCTAGTTGGTTTGGCTATGCTCATGAAGTCATATAATTAATACAGAGTGTAAGCTATCCATCATTCCTAGGAACATGATTTTAGGACTGTCATCCAAGTGAAGGAGTGAAAATGCCTGGGCTGTATAAGAAAAACCTGAAAAGCTTCAGTTTCCTACAAAGATTTTAAATATATACATTAATGCGCTTCATGTTTTGTCTTCTTATAAGCAACTGATACATGGTATATGGTAAAACTGCAAAAGCAGCTCATTTAAATGAAAATATGAACAAAAGTTACTATTAACATTATTTATTATGTATTTAACAGTTATTTCTTTTCAGGCTCATATCCATGACATTAAAGAAATATGTAGCCTATCCCATCAAATCTCTCACATAGGAATGTTTTGTATCTTACCCCATGCAAATTGGAAGAGTGATCTGGCCATCTTTTTATCCAATTTATTAATACGAATATTAAAGAACAGAGGCACGAGCCTCTATTCTTGAATGCTTTGGCACCCTACTTGATACTTCTCTCCAGTCTTGTGGAGAGCCATTGATGAGCACCTTTTCAATATGACTTTTTGAGAGAGCTGCGTATTCATTTAACTATCATCTCATCAAACCCACAAGTGAATGAAAGCATCCTAAGGCACTTTGCTGAAATTACAGCAGGTTCCAATTACCCAGAGAAATAGTGAGCTCCCTGACCCCCCCCCCCATGTTCAAACAAAGGCTATAAAACCATCTGTCAGGAATGCTTTAATTTGAATTCCTTGCCCAGCCAGGGATTAGACTTGATAAGCTAAATTACCCCTTCCAACTCTGTGATTCTATGAACATTCAATATGTCCTTCAGCTCCTGGAAGATCATCTACTCAGTCTGTGATCATCTTATTCTGATGTTTGATTTCCAGCTTCAAATATTTCTTGGCATTATTCTGAATTTTTGCGTGCTACCTTGCAGAGATTTTTCACTGTAATCTGCCATCATATATGTCTTCATGGTGCTTAAAAAAATATCCTGCCTCATAAATTACCCCCCAAAGGTCTCATACATGCATGTAAGAAAATGACCCCCCCCCACATTTATTCCTTATCAAATAGGACTAGTCATGTGAACTACAAAGATCCGGACAATGGATAGCTGGCAGCAAAGGACTTAAAGCTTTCATTAATCTCTTTGCTGCCGTCCAGTGATCGTCTAAAGTTTTGCATTCATATTTGGTATTGTAGTCCTACTGCTATCATCATTTCTCCTCAGCCTTAACTCGGAGAAATAATAGTTACTAACTATTACCCACTACTATGCCATGGCCCACGCGCCACATTCTCCTCTACCGTGTTTTCCCCACTGTATCAATAGCACCACGATCATTAATCTGTTGGGTTAGGCCGAATGCTTGCGGGCAATCTGCCCCGCCAAATTGGAGACGTTCCTTAAAGAGTGTTTTTACTTATTTGGACCCATATTCCGGAGCAACCACGGGGCGCTCACGTTCCTTTCTCCGACATCTCCCCCCCCCCCACCCAAATCCTTACTCACCTGTCCACCACCCCCTCCCCTCTTCGTCGCTGCCTCCGATCCCGCTGCCTGCCTCCTTCTCGCCTCCCCTCCCGGCCCTGCTGCATTGTGGTTCGGCCGGACCGGCGGCGGCACGGCGGCGGCGAGAGCTGAGCCGAGCCAAGCGAAGATGGCTGAGCTGAAACAGCCGCCGAAGCACGACGGGCGGGTGAAGATCGGCCACTACGTGCTGGGGGACACACTGGGTGTCGGCACTTTCGGCAAAGTCAAGAGCTGAGTACGGGGCACGGGGAGGGGCAGGTCGGGCTGCAGGACGTAGAGGCCGGCAGCGGCGGAGGGTCGCTGCCCGCCGCGGACCGAGAAGCTCGCGCCCGGTGGCGACAGAAGCAGCGGCGGCGGCAAGGAAGCCGGAGTGCTCGCCCGGGATTGGAGCCAGCGAGCAGCCGGGCATCATCCCCGGGCCTCTCCCCGCCTTCTCCATCCTCTGTTAGGGTCGCCCCTCCAGAGCTTCAGCCTCTCCGGTGGCGGCTACGTTGGAAGGGAAGGGGGAAGAGGAGGCCTGCGGGGGCATGGCTGAGAGTTGTGAGGCGTCGTACCAACCTGTCTGTCCCTCCGGTTTTGCTAAAGTGCACGAGTCTTCTCTCTCACACGCACAACCTTCCATGACCCGGTCGGAATGGGTCTCCCAGCACGACTTCCATCATCCCAAGTGCATGGCAATTGGTGGCTGGGGACAATGGGGTTTGGAATCAGTTCATCCAGAAAATTAGACATTGGAGAAGCCAAGTTTAATGGGAATTTTCTTCTTTTTTGTGGGAAGACCCAATCTACAGTTCTGTAGGTTCATTATACAATGTCAATAAGTGTGACATTGGAGGTGGGGAAGATATAATGGAAGCAATAGGCATGCTAATATTGCAGTGATAAGACTTGGGCCATCCATTTGATGAATAATGCAACATTTTTTTTGTTCCAACAGTATTGCACTATTTTAATACGTATTTCCTCACTGAGAAATAAGACATTGTGTCAGCGTTGTGTTTCCGATTTTTGGGAAGAAAATAAGTCCCACAGATCAGTTTGATTTTCCATAAATCCATGGAGAAATTTACCTCAAGAAATGTCTTTCCTAACACTGTTGTTGGGAATTCAATGTTTATTTATTCAAAATCAGAACTAATCATGTTGTGTTCTTGAATGAATTGTTTTGAACCATTAGCTATTCTCAGTTAATTGATACAGATTGCTGCCACAGTTTTTTATCTTTTTTAATCAACTATTCTCAAACTTTTAGGTAATTTATATTTTATTCCTACAGCATTTCTGAGGTGGGATCAGTAAACCATACTCTTAAGTTAATATACTTGGGAGTGCTGCTTTATTGATCAATGCAGTACAAATGATTGATTTAGTTGTTCTAATTTGACTTTCTAATTCTAGAATTATATTCTAACACATATTTATTTGGGATTAATAATATTTGGATTCATTTCCAAACTGAAATGCTCTTTGTGTGCATTATAGAGAAAAGAACACATAAATGGAAACTAATTTTCTAAGTTGTAGTATAATAATTGAGTTTAATTGTTTAAGAAGATACTGTCTTTTCACTGTTCATTAATTTATACTATTCAGCTATATACAGCATACATACATGCACAGAGGAACATGGCAAACCTTTCTGGAAATGTTGAACCATTGCTTACATTTGTAGAATTAGAAACATCCATATTAGGAACCTAAGCTATTACATTACACAACAAATAATACCCTGTCTTGTGACTTCATCCTACAAGACATTCAAGTAGACTTAACAAGTTCCAAAGGAGTGAAACAATAATATCTCTGTATCTGTTGCTTACTGTAAGCAAATGATGGATTACAAAGCAGGCTGTTTATTATTAATGATTAATGTATTAGAAAAGATTTTGTAGACACATATATTTTATAAATGGACTACTGAGTAGGAATATGTACATACAAGCTTGTTTATTTTCCTAGCTGGAGTTAGCCAATGTTTTTTTTTTAATTATTTTAATCAAAGTCACTGAATAAAACACAAATAATCACCCTAGAGTTGGGTAGAGCCTAGTCTTGTCATCAAATCTTACAACTGGGACTCTTCATTCTTGGTTATGTCTGTGGGATATTTTTCCATAAGTGCTCCCAAAGATGACAGATACATGAAGTAATATCATCAGACCATATGATGGGACTACACAAATGAATGAGGAGGTTTGATTATTGCAAGTTGCTCAGACTCATTGAGAGTCGGGTGACATGCAAGTTTAATAAATTACATATTATTATCACATCTGACATAGCAAACCATAATATCTGCTGCATTATTACCATTAACAGACTCTCTTTCAGTTAAAGAAATATTTGGGAAAAGGGGATGAGTGGTAAGACATAAATCATAGGTTTTTTTCAATCATGCCCAATTCTCAGAGCTGCCTGGACAGTTTTCCACAATTTTCTTGACAAGGTTTTCAAAACTGGTTTGCCATTGCTTCATTCTTAGGGTTAAGACTAGGTAACTAGGCTAAGGTCGCCCAGCTGGCTTTATGCCCTAAGATAAGACTAGAACTCATGGTCTTCCAGTTTCTAGCCTGAGGCCTTTGATGGCTCTCAAGCTACAGTTAACATGCCCAAATGCTTGGTTAATTTAACTGCACTGAGTGTTATTTCTGCTATTTTTAGTCATAGCTTATTTCAGATATGTATATAACTAGCATCTCTGTTGTATCATTTCCCAATCTATTTAGCTAAATATTAGTGGTTTGACTACTAGAAAAGAATGCCCTAATCTTCCTTCTTCCCTGTTAGTCTCTCTTCTCAGGAATAGAAACCAAATACTCAGAAATTAGTAGAAGAAGCATCCTATAGAATATGGGAAGTCCTTGACTTACAACAGTTTGTTTAGTGATTGTTCAAAGTTACAACGGCACTGAAAAATGTGACTTATGACCGTTTTTCTTAGTTATGACCTTTGCAGCATTCCCATATCATGTGATCAGAATTCAGATGCTTGGCAACTGACTCATATTTATGACCTTTGCTGTGTCCCAGTGTTATGTGATCACCTTTTGAAACCTTCTGATAAACAAAGTCAGTAGGGAAACCAGATTCTCTTAACAACCAGGTTACAAATCTATCAACTGCAGTGATTCACTTAACAACTGTGGCAAGAAAAGTCGTAAAATGGGACAAAACTCACTGAACAAATGTCTCACTTAACAACAGAAATTTTGGGCTTAGTTGTGGTCGTAAGTCAAGGTCTACATGTATAAATAACCATCATCACTTGCTAATGTGTGCCAAACAAGTAATTCTTAATTAAAATGACTGTATCTGAGGTACAGAAACCTAATTACTTACTAGATAGCTGCAAATTCTTAACTCTTCGTTGTCATCTAATAGTCGTCTGGATTTTGTGACCCATATGCATATTGTTAATAAGAACAAGTACATAAGACAATAAGAAGATTGTGGTTGTACTGATTTACAGCTTAGGTGTAAAAACTAGATGTTTGATAGGATCCAGAGAGCTTAGTTTAAGAAAAATTATAAAATTATATACAAAGAAAGATATTGCTCTTTATTTTTTTTATCACTTTAACAAAAATAATGAAATCTGAATGGGTATACTTCCAGAATAAAAAAGCTATATGTTTCTTTTTCTAAACGTCCTTTTCTATGTATAAATATCTACAGCATATCTATTGATACCTGCCCAATATTGCTGCTGTTTCCAGAATACCAGCCAGTAAGGAGCACACACTTTTTAAAAGATGAAGCCCCAAAATGATATAAAATTAAGAGTAAACAAAATCAATAAAGATGGTTGGAGAGCCTTGAAAATTTCCAAAATTTCATAATTTATTATTTTGTTCAAAATTAAATGCTGCAGTACTTGTGTTAATTCTCAAGAAACTGCAAACTTTTTGAGCCTGATTAATGCAGGTCCTCTCTGGCACTTCAAGGACAGGCTAGGTAATCAAATAGGTTTTTTTTTTTATCCTGAATTCTTACAAATGGAAAATAAATTATAGTTCTTACTGGGCTTTTGTGTGTGTTTCTGTACCGGTAATGCTAACTTACAGCATCATTCAAGCATTGCCATGTTGGAATGTAACCTGTCTGCATTAGCAATTTATCACCACAGCAATGTCTGGGTGATGTTGTAAATTGCTGGTTTCCTCTGTGTAATCATTTTGACCATTTCTTAAGTTGCTTTAAATTTCTTGGAAAGATCTTATGCATCATAGAATAGTACGTTCCAGTAAAGGGAACACAGAGATACCCGGTCTACATATCTTATATGTTACAAAGCATAATTTATCTCAACATTTGCTTTTCATTCTGAATTTGCATAGGAACACAAAATGAGCAAGCCAAACAATTTTTATTTTGAAGCATGGCAAGCCAGTTTATTTTTAGAACACTCTTATTGAGGAAAGAATTTCAGGCTGCCCTTATCTCTGCTAATAATAGTGACTTGCTCAATTTATACAGCTACTGAACTACCACTCCACCCTCTCCTTTAGTCAGGCTATCTCTTAATTGCAGATTTTCTAGTTCATAGTTCACTTGGTTTTAAATGTAATGATTTTTTTAAGCTGGGGTGCTAAATTCTGTATGCAACCTATTTGTTTATTTCTTCCTTTTAGAATATGATAAGGATTCTTTGAATTCCAGCACAAATATTATCTTAGTGGGTTTTTTTAATATAAATCTGATACTAGAAGGAAATTTATGCTTGGAAATATATATGTATACTTGAATATGTATGTGTCTTCAAGTGTTGTGCCTCTTGTCTTTGTCACTTTATGGAATGTAACCATAGGCAATGTCTACTGAAATCTTCATCTTGGCTTAGATCTTTTAAAAATAATTATTATTAATTCCTAATTTTGTCCTGATTTTTCCCCTAAAACAGTTATTTTGAAAATACTGGATTAAAGCTAATGTGCACATTATGTGGAAATTCTAGTGGCAATAGGGAAGTATAATGGAACGGAATGGAATGGAATGGAATGGAATGGAATGGAATGGAATGGAATAGAATAGAATAGAATAGAATAGAATAGAATAGAATAGAATAGAATAGTAACTTTATTGTCACTTTGAATGTACACCAATTGGCATACATTAAAATGAAATTTCATTGCATACAACTCTCAAAAGGTCACCACCTCCGATATACACTACATAAATATGACAAAAATAAGTAAATAAATAAATACAGAATTTTGCATATACCCATATATATTATACGACACAGAGAAACAATAGTCTAATTCAGGTTATGTATACATGTGCATGGTGAGAAAAATGAACCTTGCGAGTTTACCAGATGGATGGCATAGGAAATAAAGCTAATACCAAATCGGGTAGTTCTGCTAGAAATACTTCGAAACCTCCTCCCAGAGGGGAGCAACAGAAACAGACTGTAAAGTGGGTGTGTGGGGTCTCTAACAAAGCTTTGAGCTCTAAGCACATAGCACTTATAAGCAGCATCTTGAATACCAGGAAGTGAGCTTCCTATGACCTTCTTGGCTGTCCTTACCATTCTCTGTATGGACTTTCTGTCTGAGGCACTGCTGCCACTGAACCAGACATTGGTGCAGTTTGTTAAAATGCTCTCAATTGTGCCTCTGTAAAAAGTGGCCTGGACAGAGGGAGAAAGATGTGCTCTCCTCATCCGATGCAGGAAATGCAGACGCTGGTTTGCACAATTCACTAAGGATGATGTGTGGAGAAACCAGTTCAGATTGTTAAGTTATCTGTACTGCCAGATACTTAATACTATTGACCACCTCTACAACTGCATCCTTGATATGGAGTGGAGTATGACTATGCCGGCTCTTTCTAAAATCTCCTTTGTTTTATCAACATTTAGAATATCGTTATCATTATTATAATATTATTAGTCTGAAAATATAAGGAATAGATAAATAATTTATAAAAGGAAAAAGGGCAAGTAGTGATGCTCCTAAAAAAAGGAAATAGTCCATAATAAATTTTTAATCAATGGCTTAACAAGAGTATAGCAATGCAGTAATATATTTTATCGCCTGAGGTGGATAAGATTCTCAGCTGCATTATCTAGAATTTCAGTCTTATATATATTTTGTATTTTTTATATTTATGTTCCATTGTTCCAGGAGTTCAAGGCAGAGTAGCAAAACTATGTAAAGAATACCAGGCTGAGAGTGATTATTTCAAATCATCCAGGGAGTTTTCTATGATGAGGTGAAGTTGAACCTGGATCTCTTCGGCCTTAAAGACTAATCAGAACTGGCTTTCTAATCCTATAGGATAGACTTTGAAATGAATACAGGCAGTCCCCGACTTACGACTGCAACTGAGCCCAAAATTTCTGTTGTTAAGTGAGTTTTGCCCCATTTTACAACCTTTCTTGTCACAGTTGTTAAGTGAATCATTACAGTTGTTAAATTAGTAACAAAGATGTTAAGTGAATCTGTCTTCCCCTTTGAATTTGCTTGTCAGAAGGTTGCAAAGCATGATCATAGGACCGACCATGGGATATTGCAACCGTCATAAATATGAACCAGTTGCCAAGCCTCTGAATTTTGATCACATGATCAGACTTCACATGGGAACTCTGCAACAGTCGTAAGCGTGAAAAATGGTCATGTCACTTTTTTCCAGTGCCGTTGTAACTTTGAATGGTCACTAAATGAACGGATGTAAGTCAAGGACTATCTATTGATGCTGAATTATGGTGAAGTATTTTGGATTTAGTTCAACTTGAATAATGTTTTGTATCTTCTATTTTATCCTACAAAATTGCTCTAAAATCTAAATATTTTAAATGCATCTTTAGAAAAGATAGTTCTTCGCGAAAAGTCAAGTAAACATCTACAGGGCAATCACATATGATTGCAGTCTAATCTATGTACTCTTGGAAGTGAGTTTCATGCACTGACATAGGAATTACTTCTAAATAAACATACTGTAAGATTTGAGGTTTTTTTTCTTTCTTAATTATGTATATTAAATACACTGAAACAAGCCATCCTTTTGGTTCAAAACTTACAAAATGCACGATGTAAGAAAGTTTTGCAATCAGTAGCAAGTGGATGAGAGAAAGCTTTTAATGGAACTCAAATAATGAAATGCTATAAAATATTTTATGCAGCAAGTGGCCTGTTGAAAGACAGGTGGACAAAAACAGGCATCTGTACAAAAATCTTGATGATTCTGAATTACAGCTCCCATCGGGTTAAGGTGGCACGACCAATTTTGGTCAGGGATAGGGGGAATTATAATACAAAATATTATTGAAGAAGGTAGGCAAAGCAAGGCTGCCCTAATTAATGCAAATAATTAGTTGAAAATAGCATTCACAAAGGAAGAAATGATGAAAGCTTTTTCTTCTCATTATTAGTGATCTTGAGAATGGCAATAACCAGATTGCTGCCAGGGTACTTTTTTTTTTTAATTAGAATCAAAGCAGTAAGTATTAAAGTAGCTTTAGAAGTTATCACGTGGCAAATCTTTTTGGGCATTCTGCCTTACCTCTTAACAATGTCATGTCACCTGTGAGAAGTTCTTTATCTTAGTTACACACAGAGGAAAATTGGTACTTATTTTCATTCCTCACATCGTCGTCATTGCTAGTAATTGAACTAAAAAAAGTTGCTTCTTTTGATGACCTTTACAAAAAAAAATCACATAATATTGCTTTTCAAACACCTATGAATTCTACGCTGCCCTTGATGTAAGAAAAAGCATTTCCACTCAGCGTTAATTTATATTTTTGTTATTACTTTTATCGATGTTATAAGAGTTATTTTTCACAAATTTATCCATAACTTACATCGTACAGTTAAGTTTTTGAATAATGTAATTTCCAGAAAGATAAATAGACAGATTTGGAATAAACTGCAATTTTATATTTATGTCACAATGCAATTTCATATATATCAGTTTAAAAATACAGTAAGTTCCTTTAACTCCAATTGGATTTGGAGTTTTGGAGGCAGGATTTCTCAGCCTTGCAAAGATTGCAGTCTTTAAAATATTTACATGAAATGTACTCTTGCACAACCCAGGGAAATTTGTTGCTGAATAGAGATTGTAGTGTTAATACCGAGCCGCGTGATGGCCTAGTGATGATGATGCTTTCCTCCCATTCAGAAGGTTGAGGGTTCATTCCTACATAGCAACAGATGTTTCTCTCCTAGAGTGCAAAAAAAAAAAAAAAAAATCTGCTGCAAACTCTGTTTAGGAGTCAGGAAGGGCATCTGGTCAGTTCAGCTGCATGTAGTCGCCCCGACTCTACCCCGAATTAAGGGATTACAGGGTTGTAAAAAGGGAGGGTTTTTATTTATTGTAGAGCTAAAACCTCAACCTGCAACAGTTCACTTAGTGATCTTTTGAAGTTACAACAGGCCTGAAAAAAGTGACTTATGGTCATTTTTCACATTTTTTGATATCAGAATCCAGACACTTGGCAACTGACTCATATTTATGACGGTTGCAGTGTCCCAGGGTCATGTGATCCTTTTTTGCAGCCTTCTGACAAGCAAAGTCAATGGGGAAGCCAGATTCACTTAACAACCAGGTTACTAATTTAATAACTGCGGTGATTCACTTAACAACTGTGGCAAGAAAGTTTGTTAAATGGGGCAAAATTCAATTAAAATTAAAATCACATAGCAACAGAAATTTTGGGCTCAATTTTGGTCATAAATCAAGGACTACCTATAATGCATCTCACAAATCAGTAACTCTTCATTTTATGTAAACAGAAATTAACATTCAATTTTTTTCTTTTATTTAGTTGGAGAGCACCAGCTTACTGGACATAAAGTAGCAGTGAAAATTTTAAACAGGCAAAAAATTCGTAGTTTGGATGTTGTTGGAAAGATCAAACGAGAAATCCAAAACTTAAAACTTTTCCGGCATCCCCATATTATCAAACTGTAAGTTTGCTAATTCTTATTCTCTTTGTAGCATGCCATATAAAAACACATGAAAACATATAAAACACATTTCTGTATTGCAGGTATTTTACTTATTTTTAATGTTTAAGAATAATATAAATTAAGCACTGGAATTATGAAGTAAGCTTTATTGATCTTATATTGAATTTATTCCCATGTCCAAAGAATACTAAATGGACAATCTTCCTTTTAAAACACAATATGAAGATATATATTTGGATTCAGATCAGTTGTTATTATTAATTAAATTTACACGCTGTCCATCTCACAGTTTGAAGTGACTCTGGACCATTATAAAATGTTCCTCAAATGGTTCAGTCTAGATTATATTTCTTGTTCTGTAATAAACAAGAAAACCTTGACTTATCATTTTGAAGCAATATCTTATACTTTTCTGGGACACATGATTGGACAATTGTTTGATAAAAGCAAAGTAGCATGTCTCTTAGAGGTTCATCCTAGATTCATGAAGTGAGAAACAGATCTTTTAAGTCTAGATAGACTAATTTAATTATATATTTCTGAATAAAATTTCAAGGGTAAAATTGAAATGTCTTTAGATTTCATTGAATAGTGCATAAAAAGGGATTATTCAGTTTATTTTAGCACAATAGCTGTATTCTTCTGGAAGCAATGTCCAAAGAAAAAAACAAGTCTTTTTTTCTCTTAAAGCATGGTTGAGATCTTTCTTGGTTTCCATTTTGCCCCTTTATTAAAATGGCTACATTATTGTAAATACATATATAGATGTATTTTATGTTCTTATAATGGTGAATATATGGTGAATATATACAGCTTTATGTTATGGATCCAGATGGACTGTAAATAGGAATAATTATTATTGCACCATATTTTGGGACTGAATTAGAAACTTAACAAGCTAATGAAAACTTCACCAGTCCTTCATAGTGAGATAAAGGAACCTTTGCTACTACCGATATGTAATCATCACATTTGTACTAACATATTATGACTTTTGAATCTGAAATGTCTTAATTTTCTCTTGATAGCAACGTTCAGAATATTAGTTCTCAGAAGGTTTATTGAACAGATCTTAGAGGAGTGAAGAAGTTTAATGTAGGGGGTGGAGTAGGGGGAATGAAGATCTAGCAAACAGTTTAATTGAGCAGAATCCCAAAGGAGTTTATATTTGCACTACAAAAAAAGTGACCAATTTGTCCTTCAGAAGTGAAAAGCAATTATATAGAAAGTAAATTCCAATGATTTTGTTAAGGACTCTTTTAAAATTGGACAAGAGGTCTTAAGGACTTCGTCTAGCAAAAACATTTAAGATGCAATTATTTTCTTGTATGTTTTCAATAGGTATCAGGTGATCAGCACCCCTACTGATTTTTTCATGGTGATGGAATATGTGTCTGGTGGAGAATTGTTTGATTATATCTGTAAACACGGACAGGTAAGTGTCTTATCTATCTTATCATAAAAATGCATTGGATGAAAGGACAAAGAGACAAGAGTGGAAAATAGAATTGCTTTGTTAAATAGGATTCGTTTAAGTCGGTAAGATCAAAAATAGGCCAAGCCTATTAGCCATGTGTAAAATGGCTTGGTATTGAATCAAATCACTGATATACTGCATACATTTTCCTTTATTATAGTTATTGGCTACAACACTCTTTCCCATCTGGTGACCATCAGATGCATTAGATTAATAAGTTAAAGGGACCATGTTCACTTGGATTGTGACGTTAAAGTCGAACACATGAAATGTCCAAATTGGGAAAGGTTGCTATGCAGTTTTACAATCCAGCAAGTCCACTGATCATCATGCTCAAACTGAATATATCTTAAATAATTGGAAATTAATATAAGTGATAATCAGAAACAACTTCCATCACCCTGTTTTGTTTTAACTCTTCTATAGCTAAATGGTTTATTTTACATCAGTGTTTCTCAACCTTGGCCAACCTGGGGAATTCTGGGAGTTAAAATGATCAAGGTTGAGAAACATTGCTTTACATCAGGGGTCTTCAAACTTGACCCTTTTATGACTTGTGGACTTCAACTCCCAGGATTCCTCAGCCAGGCATGCTTGCTGAGGAATTCTGGGAGTTGAAGTCTACAAGTCATAAAAGGGCCAAGTTTGAAGACTCCTGCTATACATCATACCACTGATTTCTGTTAAATATCCACAGTAACAGTGATTTGGAGATAATAGTTCATCTAATTTTGTAGAAACATGCAAACATAGATACAGCTGTCATTTCACACAATCCTAAAGTTTATTTGGTGTTGTGGAAAGATTGATGGGTATGTTTAGTTAGTGATATGACTGTTAGCAAATGAGCCATATATTTATAATATGAGTAAGGATTCTGGGCGAAGAACAGCACAAATGCTTGCTTCAGCAAAAAAAAGTTTTATAGACAAATAATACAATTAACAAGTACTTTATTTTTGGATTTTTTCTTCTTTTTTCAAAATGGAGTTATTTTGTTATACGAGTTATAAGAGAATCTAAGTCATTTGTAAAGTAAAAGCAGATTTAATTTTTACTGCTCCAATTCATAGGTTGGATTATTAAATATCTTTCTCTCTTTCTCGCTTTTTCTTTAATCTTTGGAAAATATTAGGAGAGCAAAATGCTTCCTCATGCATATTATATAAACCTAGTATAGGAGTAATATTTTCTACCATTATTTTGCATTTTTGTAGTTTAATCTACTGCTTATAAATTTTGTCAGTGATGAATGTGTTATATAATAGTTAATTATAAAATGTAAAGTATGCAGTTATTTTGATTATTCTACCATTATAATCAACTGATAAGGCTCATTAATTAATGAAGTAATTCCACTTTAGTTTTGAACTCAACTATATCATTCTCTACAAACAGACAAAGCCAGATGAGGTTGTCTTGTGGTAATTGACATCTTATAGTTTGAAGTTGCAATAGTACACTTAAATGCCTCTTGTATGAAAATTAACTTCTTTTTGCAGATGCATCATTTAGAAAAATTTGACTTAAACTGACCTTTGCTGACACTTCACCCTTCGGGCATTGCTTCTGGGGCTTATGTGTAATAACATGTTTTAAAAATGTGAACTCACACACCTATAGACCAGTGTGCAATAGTCTTTTCTACCATTATGGTACTCTTCATTCTATTCTTCATCTACTAGTTCTACTTCAGAATACTGGAGGATGTAATTTTTTTATTATTATTTCCACATATAAAATGAATGCAGAGCTCATTTTGAAAATTTACATTAATTTTTTTTTAAACATAAAATGTGACAGGAACCGAGATGTAGGAGCACCAGGCTTGTTCTGATGTGTGCATGCAAGCAGTGTGCAAAATGGATAGAATTGACTCACTCATGTGGACAATTTTTCACTGTTCCTTCAGTTTCCTGGATGCATAGAAAATATATACCCCTGTTAAAAGGGATAGACTTTGTGACAAAATATATATATCTAAATTTAATCCAAAGTTAAGTATTTCCTATAGTCTGGTCTCTTAGAGAAGTGATCTGATGCATACAGGATATATCCAGAGTGAATCAGGTGAGGAGAGGCTTAATTGTTTGACAGCCTTAATTTTCAGAAACTGCAAGAATATCTCCTCTTCTTGTTTTTCAATTTGGTGCTGTTAACCGTACTGTAATTCTAAATTTGTCTTGTGGCTCATCCAAGAGATGATTACTGCATTGTTGAGTGGCATACAGAAAATTCTAAAGCATTTATTTGCTTTTTTGTTGTTGTTGTTGTTGTTGCAGGTAGAAGCAGCCGAAGCCAGGCGCCTCTTCCAGCAAATTCTGTCAGCTGTGGATTACTGCCATAGGCATATGGTGGTTCACAGAGATTTGAAACCGGAGAATGTGCTGCTGGATGCACACATGAATGCCAAGATAGCTGATTTTGGTATGTGACCCTAATAGCATTCCAAAAATGTAATTGGCTACGAGCCATCCCCCTGGACGGTGTCAATGTTAACATCCTTCAGGGAATTCAGTGTTATTTTCCATCGCCATTAGAAGCTTCTGCATTCCTGTGAAGAGCTCTTTTCATTGAAAACATTAGCTTCATCTTCTCCAAGGTAGTAAACTCTAGGTTGGCTGAAAGGTTTTCAATAGAACAACAACAAAATTAGGAAGTTAGATTCCAGGCAGATTCTGAGCCGTTTTTAGAACAACTATTTTTCTATTATTTATTTTATGGGGAGTATTATTCAGCCAGGTGAACTTCACCATAGCCTAAATTGGTATTGTTAATAACTTCACTGGAAAATACATGGTGAATTATCACTGGTGGCAGGTGTTATCCATATCTCTTTTTACCTTCCCACCACAATGAAGAAAATCAATTTACAAAATCATCTGCTCTAGTGTCTGTCATTCTACCAGTCTTAAGTGAGCAAAATACCTAATTGGTTTTCTTAAATACAAACTAGTATATGTACTTTTAAAATAAATAACTTTCATTTTTTTCCCTCTCATCTGTTTCACTGTCCCTTCAAATAGAAATATGTCACTTAAAGCAGAGGGCCCCAACCCCCAGTCCGTGGACCGGTACCGGGCCATGGCATGCCAGCAACTGGTCTGCACAAACAAGCAAAGCCCCATCTATGGGATGCAAGCAGCACACAAACCCATGTGGTCTCCGATCCGTGAAAAATCTTTTCTCCACGGAACCAGTTCCTGGTACCCAAAAGGTTGGGGACCTCTGACTTAAACTAATGCTCATCTTCATGCTAGATAAATAACAGTATTCCAGGTCAGGTATAAAATACAAAGTTTTAGATCTGTTTGTCTGGACATCCAGAACTTTTTCCTCTAGGTCTCTGTGAGCAAAATTTAATTATAGGTAGGATTAATTTGGATGCAGGAGTCTGTAGAAAAAATGAGATTCTATACATATATATGAAGGAAATGTCTAGAAGAAGCCGACATCCACACCATGGAGCAAACCATAATCAATCATAATGTATTACTTGGTGACTGTTTAGTTTGTAAGCAAAAAAGTAATATAGCTCTAGGATTGATTTATTATTTTATAGCTAGTAATTCTATTCTACTCTACTCTACTCTACTCTACTCTACTCTACTCTACTCTACTCTACTCTTATTCTCACTGTAATTTCCCTGTTGAAGTTCTACTGCCTGACACCTTTTTGCTTCATCTATATAGTGAATACCTAAAAAGTTTTCTTTTTTTAGGGCTGTCCAATATGATGTCAGATGGTGAATTCCTGAGAACCAGTTGTGGCTCACCCAACTATGCAGCACCAGAAGTAATCTCTGGAAGGTAAAAGATGAAGGAAATGATTGCATGTTGAAATGTTTGGGGAATGAAGTAAAATAGTTTTTGTTATTAATTTAAGTAATGAGAGTTACATGATTTTATTTTAAAAAAGAAACAACAGTCTAAAAAGAGGGTGGCAGATACCACGAGTCGACCAATAGGAAGAAAAATTTTATTTCACTTTAGCTGACAAAACATTACCAAATGGATTCTTCTGTACCATGTTGCTAAGTATCAACAACTTGGAGTGCTAAAGAATATATTCAGGGATACTTGGAGAAGGTGAAAGAGAGATCAAAGAGGAGAGGTATCAACACAAAATGATCAAGAAAAGGAGGAGGAAGGTTTCATAATTTCCGATCATCATTTTGAGTGAAGGCAATTATTTAGCACTGCTTTCCTTTTCTTTTCTGAACTATTTAATATTATATTAAGAAATAGATTAATGACATTTTTCTTCAGATTGTATGCTGGCCCAGAAGTTGATATCTGGAGCTGTGGTGTTATTCTTTATGCTCTTCTCTGTGGGACTCTTCCTTTTGATGATGACCATGTTCCAACCCTGTTTAAAAAAATCCGGGGAGGCGTCTTCTACATTCCTGAATACCTCAACCGTTCAATAGCAATCCTGCTGATGCATATGCTGCAGGTTGATCCACTCAAACGAGCCACCATCAAGGACATACGGTAAGTCTGTGCCAAAATTCTAACAGGCCGCTTGATTAATATTTTTCTAAAGTAAGAAAGAAAAGGATTGCCGGAAGAATGTGTTCATTGTGTAATTTGATAGTAGAAAGAGATTGGACAATCATTTCCAATCTGATTAAACATAGACTGAAAGTTGTTAATTAAAATAAATTGAATTTGGAGTCTTCATAAACAGATATTAGAAAAGCTGAGATGAGATTTAAAATAATATTGAATAATAAAATAGCGTGAAAATGAAATCACATGTAATAAAGGTACATTTTAACAAGCTGAAAAATTGTTTAGCTAAAAAAACACATAATATATATATAAGAGCCTTAATTAATTCATGATACTCTGTAGCAATTACGCCACTGCATGGATTGGATTTCTATCCTTTGTTTCAGCCTTATTTCAATATCTCTAGGTGTGCCACATTCCAAAACTCTGAAACCTTCATGAAATGTATGATTTGAACTATTGATTGTGCATGTATGTTCTGTTGGGGGATACAAGGGATCTCTTTAATACTAATGAACTCTAGATCTGTCAAGTTAAAATTTACCTTTTCCTTGGATTCAAGAGTTTTTTGCCTAGTATATTCTACAATTATTTTTTCATGTCTAGAAGCTTATCAAGAACACATGAATCAGTCCTGAGACATCATAAGCCTCTGACCATTAAAACTGAACACATGCAAGCATACAAAATTGTTATCACCATTAAACATTTTCTCTTCTAGGATTGGTTTGTTTTACAATTTTAACTTAATTTGATGGAAAAGAAATTGTTTTCATTTCTTTCTTGCAAAGGATAGCATTTCAGTAAAATCCTCAGGGAGATGGAAGGATCTTGCATTAATGTAGTTATAAGATTATTAAATGTTATGTCTTGTATGTATGTATGTATATTCCAAAATGATTACATCTGATAATGTGATAATAATAAGTAGAAGTACTATGACAATAGCACATTTGCTACTCACCACAATCAAGTAATCTCAAAAAGACTTTCCAATTGCCCCAAATGCTCTGAAAAGTTACATTACATGATGAAAAACATTTGGGAGATTGAAAGAGATTTAATACACTATTAAAAAGGGCATTATTGTAACTAGAGTAACATTTTTATTTTATTCTAGAGAGCACGAATGGTTCAAACAAGATCTGCCTAGTTATTTGTTCCCAGAAGATCCGTCATATGATGCCAATGTCATGGATGATGATGCTGTGAGGGAAGTTTGTGAGAAATTTGAATGCACCGAGTCAGAAGTGATGGCCAGTTTGTACAGCGGAGATCCTCAAGACCAGCTTGCGGTAGCTTATCACCTGATCATTGACAACAGGCGAATCATGAATCAGGCCAGTGAGTTCTACCTCGCTTCCAGCCCACCCAGTGGCTCTTTTATGGATGACTCTATGCACATCCCCCCAGGGGTGAAACCTCATCCAGAAAGAATGCCTCCTCTAGTTGCAGATAGTCCCAAAGCAAAAAGCTCTTTGGATGCATTGAACACCACTAAGCCAAAATCATTGACTGTGAAAAAAGCCAAGTGGCATTTAGGAATACGAAGTCAAAGCAAGCCTTACGATATCATGGCTGAAGTTTATCGGGCCATGAAACATCTGGATTTTGAGTGGAAGGTAAGAATAGCAGTGTGCCATGTGGCTCTTGAAAGCTTTTTAGATGAGTAATCCATGAACTTTATGTACTTATGTACCTTTTAATTTAAAGCATGTGAATGCTACCTTTGAATGCGTCCTCAAAATTCTGACCATCGCAGGACCTTCAAGGTCACATGATCACAGTCCGGGTACTTAGCAGCTGACCTGGATTTCCAACCATTGCAGCTTTCTTCTGCAGATGAGATGGCCAATCCATTCACTAGCATTTGTGTTCCACTAGCTGATAAATGCAGCGGAAAAGAATCCCTTTTCTATAGTTTTTATATATGTTCATTGAAAACTTCTGATGAAGAATTGGGCTGTTTATATGTTGAAAATTATATATGCCATGTATCACATGGGAATAAAGCTCAAATATAACTTAAACATATTTGTCTAATTGATTAAAATTTCATGGACAGAGAGCCTGAGCAGAGGCAGCATATTTCTTCATCTCTGTTCATCCTGACTTTCTCCCCTGTAGGATAATATTTAATAGCACGCACAGACTGCCCCTGAGTAATATTTTACATTTTGGTATGCAGTTTTTCTTCCTAGAGAGCTAAGTCTTAAAATCCATAATCTGTCCAGGAAAGCCTGCCTATCTATCTATCTATCTATCTATCTATCTATCTATCTATCTATCTATCTATCTATCATCTGTCTGTCTCTTTCTCTGTCTGTCTGTCTGTCTGTCTATCTATCAAATTTCTAAACCATCCATCTCCCAACAACATTTATCTCAATGCAGCGTGGCAACTTGCTAAAGTTCCTGTATGAACAAAGCTATAATTAAGCAAGCTGGTTGGAGAATTTTACGTAGAATAAATGACTTACCTTTCTCAACTATCCTTTATTGTCTCTAATCTATTCTAGCAGTGCCTAGAAGAGAAAATGCTAATGTTAAGAAATCGAAAGAGGGTTCTGTTAAGAGACTTTTATAATATCTCTAGGGAAATGTTATTTGATAGTTTTTTGCGGAATTATGGAAAATCCTATTTATATTTTTTCTCAAACTGTGGCACTGAGATTAAACTAAGTTAAGATGCATTTTTCAGTTTCCTGAAAGGCATATGCCACTGAACTGAACTGGATATATTACAGAAAAGAAATGTCTGAGATTACATTCCTTCGTTTTATGCGAAATTGTTTTTTTGAAATATGAAATTAAAATTCTTTTTCCTTTTCCACAATTATGTTTTCCTCAAATGGTGATTATGTGTTTAGGTGGTGAATGCCTATCATCTTCGGGTGCGCAGAAAGAATCCAGTTACAGGAAATTACATGAAAATGAGTTTGCAGCTGTATCAGGTGGACAATCGCAGCTATCTCTTGGACTTTAAAAGCATCGATGGTATGTAGGAAATACTGCAGAAATACTTCCAAGCTTGAAGGAAGACTTAAAAAAAAACCAAACCTCAAAATAGCTCTCTCTTCTCTTTCCCCCCATCACACTTTATACCTACTTTGTGATTCTACTAGTCAGACCAATTGTTGTTCAGCAACACTTCTTCAGTCCATTTCTCATCACTCGGTATTAACTGTGACAGATTAATGACACATATGGGTAAAAAGAAAGATTTCTGCTTCTTGCAAGATTTATAATAATCCCTCAGCAGGAAATATTCTTGCAAGCCTTTTCTGATCACAGACCATTTCTGAACTCCTAACAGCATTTTCTCCACAAGTGATGAATTTCCTTTCCCCCCACCCACCCCTACCCCAGATGATTCCATTATTCTTATTTCTGTTAGTTGAAACTATATCATTATAGTATCACTTTCAGTTCATTATTTCCAAAAAACACCTCAATTCCTTGGTTTTCTTTTTACCCTTTGTGATTTTCCCACATTCTTGGATGCAGTGAGATGTCTAAACTCTAGATGCTAAAACAAATTAGAGAAACGTATATGCATACAGTTTGCTCATAAAATTGATTCATAAAAGATTTACACACAACTTTCCCAGACTTGTAAACTAGTGATCAAAATTTGTGAAAATTCAGTCCAGTTTCAGTACTGTTTATAAATTAAAGCAAAGTCATACTCTTATATAAGTTATCTCAGTATTTTTCAAACTTGGCAATTGGGCAACTCTGCATGCTGCTAGGGAATTCTGGGAATTAAAGTCCATACATCTTAAAGCTGCCTAGTTTGAAAGACACTGATTTATCTGAGAGTGACTCTTTCTGAACTTAATGGAAAATGCATGTGTGTTTTTATTCTTGGACATGTAACATTTTGCTTGAGACCAGCGGGATTGAAGTTGAGACAGCTGTCAGTAGTTTTGAAGACAGCTACAAGCCACTTAAGGTGAAGGGAAAGGGTCAGGTTTGGTAAAAAATCTAGAATAGTGAAGAGCATAAAAGTGGTCTCAAAGGTGCTTTTTTAAAATTTTTATTAAGAAAAGAAAGGATTAAAAATATTGAACATGGTAAATCGTCCTTGAATGACATCTCAGTCCATATTGTACATTAATTACATATATTATACCTATATACAACTATACATTTCTAGTCACTATCTCAGTTTATCTCTTTACTGTGACCTCCATTTTTTTCCCTCCATCTATAAAATTTATTCCATATTCGATAAAATTCTGTTTCTTCCTGATTTTTTAATCTTTTAGTTATCCTATCTAGTTCTGCACAATACATAATTTTCTTTATTAGTGCTTCCCCACTCGGTACTTCCATTGCTTTCCACTTTTGAGCAAATAGTATCCTTGCTGCTGTGACCACATGGATAATTAAATATGTGTCCTCTTTATTTACATTTTTCTCTAGTATTCCTAATAGTAATGTCTCCGGTTTGTATTGAATGTTTTGCCTAGTCATTTCTATTGCCCAATCCCAGACCATACGCCAGTACACCTGTGCTTCTCTACATGTCCACCATACATGAAAAAAGGTGCCCTTTTTTTTTTTACATTTCCAACACATAGATGACTATCCATTATACGTTTTGGCTAATCTGGCTGGAGGGAGATGCCATTTTTCAAGAGGCAACTGGACTTTCTTGTTTTTCTTTGAAGATGTTTCGATTCCCATCCAAGAAGCTTCTTCAAGCGAAACGTCTTCAAAGAAAAACGAGGAAGTCCAGTTGCCTCTTGAAAAAGCACCTTTGACCCAACCGTGACTTGGATGACTGAGAATCGCCACAGACAGCATAAAAGCGGCATAATTATGGTGAAATATTTGAAGAAAAGCATGACTTGAAAGAAATAAGAGTAGCAATACAATACAGTTAAAACAATTACTTCTGCAGCATAGAAATTATGGCAGAATAGTTCCTTCTCCTTCTCTCAAGGAGACATCAGAAGTCTAGGACTTTACAGAGAGAATGGGGAAATACAGGAGACTATTGACTGAGATGTTTGGAGATTGCATAGGAAGCCTCTTCCATTTCATGGAAATGGGGATGGTGATGGTGATGATAAGAAGGAGAAGGAGGGTGATGATGGCGATGATGATCATGAGTAGAAAGAGGAGGTATAAAATAAGAGCAGGAGCTTACCTCAGTCTATTCTTCAAACCAGCCTTTGTTAGGTGAGTTGCCCAGCATCATAAAAGGTAAACCAGGAGTAAAACAGAAGAGTAGAGGGAAACTTTAGCCTCCTGCCAGCTCAAGATGTTGCTTTAAATCCTTTCTCTGTATTTTTAAGATGATGTCGTGGAACAAAGGTCGGGCTCTTCTACACCTCAACGCTCAAGCTCAGCAGCTCGTTTGCACAGACCAAGACTAAGTCTTGACTCCGCCATTGTTGATTGCCAGTCACTTTCTGGGTCCCCTACTGGCTCTTTGACCTGGAGCATGTCCTCTGTGACCCCACGCCTTGGGAGCCACACAATGGATTTCTTTGAAATGTGTGCCAGTCTCATTATGGCTCTGGCTGGCTGACAGGTGTCATTCAGAGGCTTGATTTCAGTGGGTGAGCATAGATACTGGTAAACCTTGTACTCAAGCTGAGTCAGGAGAGCATGGCACGGGGCAAAGGAAGCCTCATTTTGGACGTACAAATATCAGATTCAGTACCCAGAAAATACTTTATATATTTAAGAGAGAAGACAAAGGTGTTCAATTTAAAGTAAATCTATCTGCAGATTTTGCTGTATTTTTGCCAGGAATTTGGGATTGTTGTTATTTCATAAGTATGGTAGAAATGATGAGCAGTGGAGTTAGTGCTTAACAGATGAGCAGTGGAGTTAGTGCTTAACAGATGTGAAGACTGAGGACTTCAACCAACAGCTGGTAGCTATTGGATTCTAGCAGCTGCCATTCAAAATCAGATGTTGCACTGCTGCCAAAAATCTGAAAAATCTCTACAATTGAAGAATCCATAAATTCACGGCATATTGAATGAACAGTGCAATAATATTCCTGGAAACTTGACCATCAAAAGGTTTTTTTTTTAAATAAAAACTTACTTTAGAAAACAAAAGCAATAGAATCCTAGATAGAATTAATTTAGGTTTATACTCATGGTAGAAAGGTTTGTCTTGGCTGTTCTTCCATGTATTTTCACATGCAAAAATCACCCATAGGGTAGGACTGTAGCTCAGTGAGAAGTGCAATTTTTTTTGATATCAGATTTTAAATAATTATAATTTAGACCTAGATATTTAAGTTTGGAAATACATTATGATAGGCCAAGCTTGGCCAAACTTCATATACTTTTTTTTTCTTCTATGGAAATGCTTTTGGAATGCTTGGAAGTCAATAGTGCTTTTGTATCCTACTCCATGGATTCATCTGAAATATTTATTGCAGTCTACCTCCTAAACAGTGTAGAACAGGATTCAAGACTTGCTGACTCAAGAGCAGAGATCTAGAAGAAATCACCTGGAGCATCAGAAGTCTCCAAATCTGAGCTAGATGATTCATTATAAAGCAATTCTTGTGACATTGTGGTAAAATTAAATAAAGCAACTACTTTTATTAGAGGTAGCAAGCGACGAATAATACAGAGACATCTCTTAATTCAGTTATTAGGTAGTAACTTCTACCTGATCTCAACACATTTTTAATTACATCGTTGTTGCTACTGGATTGTACATTATACCTGTTTCTCATTCCAGTAGAAAAATGTCTTGGGGATGAATCAGACTAAATGATTCACTGTGCAAAATCCCCCAAACCCAGATGCTGGCAACCATTCAGATTCAGAAATCACTTTAATACAATTCTTTTGAGAGGTAGTCAGGGTTACCAATTCTTTTTGCAAGCTATCCAGCAGCAACATTTCCCCTGTTTTAATTAAAGTTTTTTTTTATTAAGGAGTTTCCGTTTTCACTAAAGGAATTCTTTTCACTGCAGCCTTTCATAACCACTTGGCCCTTGCTGCTGTTCATCATCCAACATTTGCCAGACTCAGACCACCTACTATATCTCATAAACAAAATTTGCACTCTGCTTTTAATCTCGTTATTAGTTCTCCCATCAATCATTTGAGGCCATGTTTTGCATCAAATACATCAAAATGCTGGGTTTGCATATTTAAATTAGCAATATTTATTAATCCCATGGCAGCAACAGATCAAAATATCTGTAGCCCAAATATAAAATTCCGAATTGTGGGGAAAGAAAGGGAAAAAAATACGTTTTCCTTCAGGAGTGAGGTCCTTTGGTAATGTTCTCTTTTAGAAAAAAAAGCTAATAATCTGATAAAAGCAAGGTAATTGCAGGCTAGCCACACTTTTCAGAGAAGAGAGAGTAGTTGAAAAAAAAGAACAGGGTATTCAAGAAAAATTTTTCTTGCTTGAAAAGCTAATCAGTGTTTAAATGCTTTTATAGCTTTAGTTGTCTGTTGCAATATTTGCTAGGTGCTAATTTTAGGCAGATTTTATTTTCCTGAGCTCCAAGATCGCCTCAGAGGTGGACTGCAGCCAAAAGATTAAAAGACGCTCCTGGGGAGGAAAGCTATGGCAAATCTAGACAGCATACTAAAAAGCAGAGACATCACCCTGCCAACAAAAGTGCGTATAGTCAAGGCCATGGTTTTCCCAGTTGCAATGTATGAATGTGAAAGTTGGACCATAAGAAAGGCTGAGCGACAAAGAATTGAGGCCTTTGAACTATGGTGCTGGAGAAGACTCCTGCAAGTCCCCTGGACTGCAAGGCGTTCAAACCGGTCAGTCCTAGAAGAGATCAACCCCGACTGCTCTTTAGAACGGCAGATCCTGAAGTTGAAACTCAAGTACTTTGGCCACCTAATGAGAAGGAAAGACTCAACTGGAGAAGGGCCTAATGTTGGGAAAGATTGAGGGCAATAGAAGAATGTGACGACAGAGAATGAGATGGCTGGATGGAGTCATTGAAACAGTAGGTGTGAACTTAAATGGACTCCAGAAGATGGTAGAGGACAGGAAGACCTGGAGGAACGTTGTCCATGGGGTCGCGATGGTTTGGACACGACTTCGCAATTAACAACAACAATTTTAGGCGGGTTTTGAGAAGAAAAGTTTACCAACATACACAGCATATTTATTCACATGTGGGGTAATCCTATACATCAGCGGCCCCCAATCTTTTGGGCACCAGGGACTGGTTCCGTGGAGAAAGGTTTTTCCGTGGACCGGAGGAGGTGTGGTTTTGCGTGCTGCCTGCATACCGTGGACCAGTGCCTGTCCACATATCAGAGGTTGGGAACCTCTGCTGTACATGTCTGCTCAGAAAATAAGAAAATACGGTCTAAGCAAGAACATAGAACATTGCTAACCAAAATATTTAATATATGCTTTAAAAAAAAAAGATGGGGGACTCCATTTGTTTTAAACATTGATATAAAAGGAGCATCTTTGGACTGCTGCAGAAGCCAGTTTTGAAAGTGGATGAATTTGAGATCTTTCACAGACAAGGATGTTTCCCAGCTCACTCTTTGGTCAAATCATCAATCTCTTTCAATTACTAATGCCCATTTTTGTTGTTTTTAAATGTTCATTTCTGATTTGCTACTTCCAGATCATTAGGGACATTCTAACACAGACAAAAAAAATGGATATGCATCTCGATATTTGTGTTGGTCCTAGCATCCCTTCATCCCCAGGATTTGAGAATAATTTATGGAGCCAAAAGTTGTGCAACAGGTAGATAGATGCATTAGAATCAATTTTGATAATGTGTCATTTTATTAATCACAAAAACCCTGATCTTTTCAAGTCCACAAATACAGCATTATCTAAATTGACCAGAATATCTATCATAAGGGAGTCAAATGTAATTGTTGCACTGAGATTGTCTGCAGTACATTTTTAAAGTAACAGATGAATGGGCACTTTCTATACCATCACTAATTATCTTGAAATATAAGGAGTTCATTGAATTCTAGATTTCAGATACGCTTTTGTGTGAGTAAAGCTTTCTCATTTTCCCCTTCAATAGGAAAATATTTTTGCCTTTTTAGTACTGACAGCATCCTTTTACAATACTATGTCATGAGAACTGGAATATGAATTTGACAATGTTGTTCCAGACCTTAGGGCTTTTGTGTACTTGTAAAGCTTAACTGCCTGTGACTTCCCTGAGATATAGATAAAGCAGGAATGACTTATGTTTAGTGTTCCTTTTCTTTAGGCTATCTCAAGGCATCACGGTTACTAAAAGTGTAGTAAGAAAACCCTTTATTATTGGAAATGGTAATATTCTTTGAACATGAGGGTGAAACCACACTTTGTAGATGCTGCAGTACATTGTTTCCGAGTTTTTATTTATGCTTTGTTCTCATAATAGCTGCTCTTTAATTTTACAATAGCTATTTGTAATATTAATACTTGATATTAATAAGTGCTAACTGAGGTTGAATTAAAAATATAACAGGATCAAATCTAGAAGATATAAACTAGGATGGAGTCAAAACATTGTTTTAGACAAAATGGGAAAACAATTTTAGCCAAATAACTTTGTACAAAGCCTTTCCATATAATTCAAAAACTGTTTTTTTCTCATTTTTTTTGAAATGGCATTAGTTTATCTGAAAATAAGTCTTGAGATGCCAGTTTGTTTGTTTGTTTTTTTCCTGTTTGAGGATATTGATTTTACAGGATTTCCTTCATATAACTTCGATATAATTAAAAGGAATAGCAAGTACAGCCACTGTTTTGCTGAACATGGATATATGTACAGATAGTCCTCGACTTACGACCACAATTGACTGTAAAAATTCTGTTGCTAAGCAAGACAGCTGTGAAGTGAATTTTGCCCCATTTTACGACCTTTCTTGCCATGGTTGTTAAGTGAATCACTGCAGTCATCAAAGTAATAACATGGTTGTTAAGTGAGTCTGGCTTCCCCATTGGCTTTGTTTGTCAGAAGGTTGCAAAAGGGGATCGCATGACCCCAGGACCCTGCAACTGTCATAAATATGAGTCAGTGGCCAAGCATCTGACTTTTGATCATGTGACCATGTGGGGTGCTGCAACAGTCATAAATGTGAAAAATGGCCAAACGTCACTTTTTTCAGTGCCATTGTAACGTTGAACTCTTGTAAGGCGAGGACTGCCTGTGACATGAAAGCCTGTGTACATGGGCCTCTGAGTATGGGAATATATGGATTTAGAGTTTCAGGAATGTTGTCTGATCATGCTTCTTGCTCTTACATAAACATATGTATGCAGCCTCTCCTATCAACACTTAATGCAGAAACAAAGAAACCCGGAGCATATCTAGGATTACTATAGCTGGACTGCATACATGGCAGCAAAAAAGCTTTTTCTTGTATCTCTGTTTGCAGCCATATTTGATAGCCATTGCGGGTCATATTTCAATCTGGCACTCTTCATATACGTGGGTACAGAAACACCCAGAATTCCCAACCAGCAAGGTCAAAGGCCATGTTTGTTGGAAACTGATGTCTCAATACATCTAGAACTAGGTTGGTCTACAGCAGAGACGGGGAAACTATGGCTGGCCCAGGAATTCTGGGAGTTGAAGTCACAGCTCATAAAAGGGTCATAGTTCCCCACCCCTGGTCGACAGTATGCATAATGCTTGAACTAGTTTCATTTCTCTCAACATTTTGAAACACTAGAAAGGCAGAGGTATGTTCCATTAAAAAAAAAAAACTTTCTATGCTCCCAGTGAATGTTGAAGAGGAAGATGCAAAGAAGCTGGGAAAGAGAAGCTCTGTTAATAAAAAGGATGGTTATTGTCATTATCGATTTAAGCCGAATGTAAATTTTTCCTGCCCTGCTAAAAAAAATTTTATCCATCTGAATGGAAGCAGATGTTTTCAGAAAAGGTGCAATTTCTTTTTTTTAATTGCCTCTGTAATCTCCATCATTGTTATCTTCTCATTTAAGATATGTCCCATGTTCTCTGGCACCTTTGGAAGATCAGCTCCTTTTAAGTAGTCCTGTATTGCCTCTTTGGAAACCACCTCCGCCTTGTAAAGTGTGGTTTCTTAATGTTATTATTGTACATTCATGTTGCACTTTATCTCTTTTTTAATATCCAATTCAGATTACCAGTAATGCTCGTTCAATAAGTATCACAAGTTAGGAATGTCACATGTGTGAAAGATAAATTTAACAAAATAACCATTGATTGCAAGACAATGATACTCTTTTGGCCAATTGAAATTTATCCTTGCTTGCTGATGTAAAGACCTCCTGATTATTGCATTTTCGTTGTGGAGTTGGGATTAAAATTTGGATGTATTACAAATGTCAGGCGTCTACTAAATTGTCAAAAGGATGACTAGAATTAAGATGAATTACCCTTTTGCTTTCTGAAAGGGCAGTGCTTGAGCTATAGAGCTAATGTGGTATTCAGTGTAGATTCAGGTGGCTGTTACTGATCTATTTAAGTGAGGATTGATAGTGATGTTGTTTTCCCCCAACAAAACAGGATAAACACATTGCTACACTGTTGAAGTGAAAGTACAATTTCCAACCACTGGTTTATTGGCATGCTCCAGTTAGAAAATCACTAATTCCTCCCCCCAACATCCCTTTGAATCAATACAGAATGTGTAAGGACGGTGAGAGTAGTGGCTCATATAACAGGTTTTCATTCACATCTAATAGTGGTGTAACCCTTTAGGTTGCAGATTTCAGATAAGACTACTTAAATTTCAGATAAGACTACTTAAATTGAATTTTAAGCAGGGTTAATTTCCTTGCAAGAAAAAAAAATGCAATGGCCACTGCATTATCCAAATTTCTTCCATAGTAGTGTTGGGTGGGTTTTTTTTTGTTGCTGTTTGAATATATGACCTAAGTTAATTATGGAAAAATGTGCCTTCTTGTACCAGCAGCTGAAAATGACAGAATGTATCATGTTTGCTCATTTTACAGAAAAGTCTTATCACCTTCATTACCTTAGGAAGAGATTATTTAAAATACTTGAAGTGTACTTTGCCTAACTGATGACATTTGCATGTGATGACATTTCTTACTATAATCATGCTGTACAACCAAAGTGTTATTCGTGGTGAGTTCTAGCTTAGTAGTATGTATGTTTTTGTAGCAGGACTTATGAATCCAGAGAGTTACAGGTAGTCCTCGACTTAACGGTAGTTTGTTTAGTGATTATTCAAAATTACAACGGCACTGGAAAAAGTGACTTATGACAATTTTTCATACTTATGACCGTTTCAGCATCCCCAGGGTCATGTTATTTACATTTGGATGCTTGACAGCTGGTTCATATTTATGACGGTTGCAGCATCCTGGGGTCGCGTCCTCTCCTTTTGTGACCTTCTGACAAACAAAGTCAACGGGGAAGACAGATTCACTTCACAACCCTGCTATTTGGTTAACAGCTGGAATGATTCACTTAATCAATGTGGGAAGAAAAATTGTAAAATGGGGAAAAATTCACTCAACTAATTTTTCACTTAGCAACATACATTTTGGGCTCAATTGTGATCGTAAGTTGAGGACTACCTGTCAATTTAGAAACCACATTGTAACTAAGAATGAGCTTGATCATAGGAGTATTTGGAGAGGTGCTCTACTTGATCCAGCCTCTTCGCTCCACTTTTGACCTCTTGACTGGCTGTACTTCTTCACTTGATATGTCCTCTGTAAAGCACATCACGGGAGCCTGTCTTTGAGAAATGGCCATCAAAGCATAAACATTCATATGCTTGACATAAACCATTGTATCAAGGAACCTCATGGCTAATTCACCAGTCTTTCTATGTAGACCAGTGGTCTAACTTGACACAAGCCAGTTCTTTGTATTTCTTTGCCTTATCGATAATATAATTAAGCTGCACTCCTGTTGGGCTAAAATGTTTATAATGGTTTTTCTCCTCCTCTTTCATTCCTATTCAGAATTTAGTGTTAATGCCACTTCCTCAATACTTTCAAATGGTAATGCACATCCAAGTGGGCCATTTTATAATAGCCCACTTAGATGTGCATTGCAGCATATATAAGGAGCTCTTGTATTGTACAATAACAACGTACAAACATACTGCAATAGGGGGTGGAGACATATCTACCTTTTGAACTTCGAGAAAACAGCTGTGCAAAAGTCGAATGCCTTGTAGAGATAGTTAATAGAATAGGCTTTACCTATGATATAAAGAAACAGGACTACAGGTAGTCCTTAACTTATGACCACAATTGAGCCCAAATTTTCTCTTGTAAGGTGAAACATTTGTTAAAGTGAATTTTGTCCCATTTTATGACCTCTCTTTCCAAAGTTAAGTGAATCACTGCAGTTATTAAATTTAGTAAGAGGGTTGTTAGTGGATCTGGCTTCCCCATTGACTTTGCTTGTATTGCAGGCTACTTCCACTGCCTGCTGCCTGCCTGCAGTTTGGCAGTTCGAATCTCACCGGCTCAAGGTTGACTCAGCTTTCCATCCTTCCTAAGTCAGTAAAAATGAGGACCCAGATCGTTGGGGGCAATATGCTGACTCTGTAAACCACTTAGAGACAGGGCTGTAAAGCACCGTGAAGTGGTATATAAGTCTTAAGTCGGTGTTTCTCAATCTTGACAATTTTAAGGCATGTGGACTTCAACTCCCAGAATTCCACAGCCAGCATTGCTGGCTGTGGAATTCTGGGAGTTGAAGTCCACATGCCTTAAAATTGTTAAGGTTGAGAAACACTGGTCTAAGTGCTATTGCTATTGTTAGGTCACAAAAGGTGATCACATAACCCAAGGACACTGCAACCTTCATAAATATGAGTCAGTTGCCAAGCATCTGAATTTTGATCACATGACCATGGAGATACTGCAAGGGTTATAAATGTGAAAAATGGTCATAAATCACTTTTTCAGTATTGCTGTAACTTTGAACTGTTGTAAGTCATACTTGACTAAGAAACCTATTCCTATGAGTGGACATCATTAGTTTCCCCCCCCCCAAAGTAGCTTTTCTCATAAAAGCTGCTTTTGAAAAAGGAAGAAAGAAATCTATCACTAAACTTTTCCTTATTTGTATCCAAATGACTTTTGATCATCAAATCCCTGGATCTTCAGTTGTTCATAAGGTCTGCGGTCACTGCAAACATTCTGTTTATGAAAACTAGGTGAAATTGGAAAGTGAGCCATTACATGAATGATAAAGGGAAATGTTGCTTTTGATATCTATAATTGTATTTGTTGACAGATTAAATGAAAAGTTAGTCACCAGTTTAAGCATTTTAGCATTGCCTGTTAGGTTCTCCCTAAATGCTTTGAAACTACTACTGAAACTGCCTTAAGTAATCTAACATAATGTGACAGAATATTTATTTGAAAAGTTGACATGTCTGTCTATGCATTTTCCTAAGTAATTATTGTAAAACTCATAAAACGTTTGAATGGTTACCAATCTTCCAGTATTATTTCATCCCTAATTTGAAGTGAAATCGTATATTTTTTCCATATTAAAGTACACTGGTATGTATGTCTATCTAGCACTCTTTTTTCTTTAGTGTGACTATTTTTTTTCTTCAATGTACAAATGTACAAAATACAAGCTATAGGACTATACATACATTTATATGTATTTTTGGAAATAGCACTGTTAAAGACCATTCTCAGAAGATTCGGAATTTTTGTATTTGTAATGTACAAATGTAAAATAAAACTCCTCCATTAATACCAACTAGTGAAATTACATATGAGAAAGAGAGAAAGTCCATTTGCCTCGTGAAAAAGCATCTTTGGGAGAAATAGAGAGATTTTCATTCTTAACAAGAATTGAATTTGAAATGATTTGACGTAGTTTGTAAACTAGTCTGGAGAATCTTTAAATTGTTTGCTGCTATAGTCAGAATGATCCTCAGAGTAATTTCATCTGGGACTTCACTTTGAGACGTTACTAATCTATTCATAAAAAATGAGGAAGGGGCTGTTCCTCCTTAAAAGATAAGTAAGGGGAAAAAAAGATGACTAAATATTAAGCAGAAGTTAGCAGAAGTCACTTTTAAGGACAACAGCTAGTGGAATTAAGAAAACAAAGTATTGTTCTGCCTCAGATTTTGTTTATAATGAGAAAATTCATAGAATTCACATAACCAGGCACAGCAAACTTTGTCAATATCCCTATATTTCATAAAATAATATTCACTGATGCTTTCATGTTTCATTGTTGTTTATAGAGGAGGTAGTCCAGATCATTTTGATTTTTGTTCGGCTTATATAAGAACTTAAAAGAGGGCAGCATAAGCATATTGTTTTTTCAGTTTTATCGTTTAAAAAAAAAACCTGGATAATTGGAAGTTTCATGTACCTATCTCTATTGTATCTCATTGCATGTTATTTCATGATTGACATTTGCACTTTAATAAACAGATTATAAGCGTGTAAACACATGAGTTACTCATGTGAACTTTTCAGCTCTTTTATACTGTAAAAATTTAGAAATATAAATACTGTGGTAGTGGCTATTGTTTTCATCAGACTGCGCTCAGAGAAAACGTAAGCTTCCAGGGAATTGCCATTAAAAGCAAAAACAATAATATTCTATGACCCAGAACAAACTCAGAAAACCATTTTTCAAATTCCATTTTTTTATTTGCTGGCAATAGTTTGCTATTTTTGATGACAAACTTCACTTAAGCCTACTTTGAGTAAGCCTATTGGCACTCACATGTTGGATATATGCCCTATTGCAGAAGTCCCCAACCTTTTGGGCACCAGGGACCGGTTCCATGGAGAGAGGTTTTTCCACAGACTGGAGGATGCATGGTTTCGTGTGCTGCCTGCATCCCACAGATGGGGCTTTGCTTGTTTGTGTGGACCGGTTGCTGGCATGCCGCAGCCCGGTACCAGTCCATGCACCGGGGGTTGGGGACCCTTGCCCTATTGTGTTTTGCCTTGCTCTGTTTTGGAGCAAGATAAATAGAAATCTGCCTGTCCGTGTTGTGCATTTGGTAAATAACATGGATACAGATTAATTTAATTGTAATATTCTTCACAGAAAAAGCACAACCATATTGTGATAATCCAACCACCTTCAAAAATATGTACGATGTCTGTATTCGTAGTCTTATTAGCTTGTTTGTTTTACATTTCCCCCAGTGACTTGAACAGTAGACTCAAGTCATTTCCTTTGACTTACTTTAATACAAGCAGGCCAATAACATCATTGTTGCATTATTCAAATTTGCACCGTTTGACATATTTTAAGGAAAATGGGGCAATTGATTCTAACTTGATGGAAACTGGAAATGAAAAAAAATGCTTATTAAGGAAATATAAAGATTTAAAAAATAGATAATATGCAAAGTGATAGCAAGATTGTTGCTTAGACCACCTTTCGGTTACTTTTAAGTGGTTTTAGAATTTTTGGGTTGGAACATCTTGGCTTCAAAATCTAAGGGATTGGTTTGGACAAAACTCAGCAGCACTTTTTCATGCGCCTGCTGATAAAAACAGGATCGCCAACATGATCGTCAACGTGCGATAACGGATATGGCACAAGAAGAAGATAACTTATCATGAAATCTTAAAGGTAGATTTCATAAATATTTAAAATAAATCAAGTGAACAAAGGAGAAGCTATAAGAGAAACCCATATACAAACTATACCTGATGTCCTATATTCTGCATAGTTCTTCAAAATGAGCCTCTTTTTGGGGGAGAGGGGCTTTCCTCAAATGGAAACTTTTTTCCATTTTGCATGGCAGCAATTAGCATCTAAAACCCGCAACAACAACTGTGCATGCACTAGTCCACATTTTACAAGCTGCAGGCCACATTCCGCCCTTTGGCTGTCCCTATCCAGTCCTGGGTGGCAGTCCTCCATAACAGTCTCAGTTTCTTATGTGGCTCCTTGGGAAAATAAATAGCTTTAACTTGCGTTAGACTCAACTAGCATCGTGTTAACTGAAATTTAGCTTGCATCAAACATGGCACGTTATCAGTTTATAATTTGCATTAAATTAAACTGACTATTGTGTTATAGGTAGTCCTCATTTAGCGAATAGAGACTGGCAATCTGTGACTCTGTTTATGGTCTGACTTCAGCTTTCCTTTGCTTTATAGACCTGCGAAGGTCATTAATGTGAAGATTCGTTGTAAAGTTACTTTTTCATTACCATCATAACTGCAAATGATAGCATAATCAGAATCCAGAATTCCCCTTAGTCACAAAAACCCATGAGAACTAGTTGAGAGGCACCAGTTTTTACACTATTGCCAGACCATAAGTTGTTATGGAAGGACGTAAATCCAGTTCCTTTGGGTATCATCAAAGTTGCTCAGGCAGGTATCTGTTTTCACAATGGAGCTTCATCTTTATATGTCCTGCCCTCTGTCTCCATTCTTTGACAGCAGATTTAAAGCAAATGGGACTTTCCAGCACAAAGGAAACTTATTCTGATTTCAGTATTCATTACATTGGTAAATAGTCACCATTTTGAATATGATTCTGTTTTATTTTTAAATAACTGAAACAGTAAACACTTCTAATTAAGTTAATTCTGCAAAGTTTTTTTGTCAAGCTGTCAATACACTTAGCAGCAATGTGTTAATTGCCAATTCATACTTTATTTCTCCTATTTACATTTAAAAATAGTGCATTAAATGGTTTCCCAATGTTTCTCTAAATGCTTAAGTCCACAAATTTTTACACTGGTTAAATACGGAATTAATTATAAATCCACGTGTGTTACTCCTAACATTGACAAAATACATACAAAAAATGTGTCAATAGCAGATAATATGTTTTGCACACAAATACTAAGTACAATATCAAAGAACCAAGTGAAATTTGCAATTTTTCTTGGGGCTGTATTACCATTAAAAAGAGCTGCTATAGGAAGAGTTGTAATTTGAAACAAAGTTTGAAAAACATGTTTTTACAATGACATTAAGTTATTTCCCTCTCAGCGTATACCTAGATTGATAAACTTTGGATAGGATAACATAAATATCAAATGTTATTTTAAAAAGTCACTTTTATGACAATCAGCAGTAACAGTTGTAAGCTTCTGAAGAATTCAGGCTGAGTGTGTTCTCCATTTTTGTTTTCTTTCACAAGCAACAAAAATTCTTTTAGATGATTATTTTCACTATATTGTGATTACAAAACGTGTTGGCCTTTAGTTGTACAGCACTAGTGCCTGGTATAAGAAAAAACACAAAGCTACATTTATTCTAGCATACAAATGGTGTCATCCATAGAAAAACTACAGCTTTGAATTATTACAGGTCCCGATTTTAGCTAATCCCGTGTTTTAGAACTGAGTCATTTTAAAACTTACCTGAAATTCAAATGTTCTAATAGCACATACCCATCTAGGAAAGGATAAAATAAAATACATTATTATGGGATGAGTTTTGTTCAAAATTTTAGTCACAGAGTTACAAACAAACCATTCAAACTTATAATCAAAAAATATTCAAGTGCAAAAACAATGTATAGTTCTTTATATACTACTTCTGTATTGTACCAAACATGGCCAATTTGCAAAAAATCAGTTTTTTTGGATTTCTGACCCCACCCTAAGTGTTTTTGTTTACTTATTATGCTCAGCTCTTCAGTTTTACTCCTTTTGAAACCTTACATTTGCCTTCAGAATTCCGACATATCAGTTGATTTCCTTCAGTGATGTCTATAACTTCAAGTTGTTCTCCAGGCAAGATCCTCAAATCCAGGTTTCCTCCGATAGGAGTATTTGAGCAGTGCGCGACTGCCGTATTTATTACTGTGATTTCCTTATTGTACTGTGGCAAAGTAAGGGGGGGGGAGAGAAAGCAAGCTCCAATTCACATAAACTTAATGGAGATCAGGTCTAGAGCTTATTACAGATACAGTTTGGATAGGATACACTGAGAATACCAAAGATTTTAAACATTTGCATATAGGTAGTCCTCAAGTTATGACCATAACAAAATTATAACAGAGAAGGAAGGGACCTGGGAGGCCTTCTGGTCAAACCTCCTGTGCAGGCAAGGAAACCCAATACCATTTCAGACAAATGGCTGTCCAATCTTTTATTAAAAACTTCCAGTTTGGAGCATTCCCAATTTCTGGAGGCAAGGATTGGGCTCAAAATTTCTGCTGCTAAATGGGAGGGCTGTTAAGTGAGTTTTGCCCCATTTTATAACCTTTCTTGCCAAAGTTGTTAAGTGAATCACTGCAGTTGTTCTGTTAGTAACGTGGCTGCTAAGTGAATCTGGCTTCCCCATTGACTTTGCTCGTCAGAAGGTTGCAGAAGGTGTTCACATGACACTGGGACACTGGAACTGTCATAAATATGAACCAGTTTTTTTTTTACCTCATGACAATGGAGATGCTGAAACAGTCAAAAGTGTGAAAAATGGTCACACATCACTTATTTCAGTGCCGTTGTATACACATTAAACATACTTTTGAGTGCCAATTTCAAAAGTGGTTTGGTATACAGGAACGCCTTGGGTTATGACCATTCAGTCACCATTCAAAGTTAGGACAGCACTAAATGAAGAGTAGTTTTGACCATCCTCAAAGTTCCAGTCTCATCTCACCTTTTCCTGCCCTGTACAAACTGTCTCTGTACAAACTCTATGTCCCGTCAGCCCATCTCTGCCCTTTTGGCTGCCTATACTGTTTCAGCTATTCCTGCTGCTCTCTGATGATACAAACCCAGCTGTGGCACCCTCAGGTGACTTTAGCTGTCTTCTTTTTCCCATTGCTAGCCCCGGGATCTGGGCAACGCTGGGGTATGCATGCCCATCTTCCATGACAGGTCCAAGGAATGGAAAGGACAGCAGGAAGGCACCAGTTCTCTGGTGAAAAATTTCCCAGAAAATATATACTTTGTGGGAAGAGGTAGTAAACTCAAAACAGGTTTTAAGGTATTAAGGAGAAACTTCCTGACAGTGAGGACAATCAACCAGTGGAACAGCTTGCCTCCAGAAATCGTGGGCGCTCCATTACTGGAAATTTTTAAGAAGAGATTAGATAATCACCTGTCTGAGATGGTATAAGTTTTCCTGCTTGAACAGGGGATTGGACTAGAAGACCTCCAAGGTCCCTTCCAGCTCTATTCTATTCTAGGGTTGCAATGTTCAAAGTAAAAGGAAGGAATATAAAGTTGTTTCATTTGATCAAGGTTAAAATAGGTAAGTTATGCTGGTAACCCTTAATGGATTTTTGCTGACATTAGGACTGAAATGAAGAGATATTTATGGATTTGTTTATAGATAAGAGATGGGATATGGGAAGAAGAGATAATTTGCTGTATTTTAAAAGAAGGGGATAAGTTATTAAAATTTTTGATACTTCTTTATTTCTTTTCTTTTTCTTTGCTATATTCTTATTTTTTTTCCTCCCCTTTCCCTCTTCTGCACCTTTTACATTTCTTTTACTTTTTAACTCTGTATTTGTTTTTTATCATTGTAATTATAATCTTTTATAAAATTACTATATAAAAACAATGTATGTATGTATGCACAGATTTTTCTCTAAAACAAGTTCCAGAATTCTTGGTTACCATTAACAATTTATGCATATTTTTAATGACAATATAATGTAACAAGAATCATTTTCTGGAATGTTGCTATTCATAGTTCTGTATTGTGACAAGAGATGACAAATTGCACAGCATATTTTCATATATCATACACACAACAGTAACCATGCCAACATCTTCCAAGCTATTTAAAAGAAGAAGAAACTTACCATAAATCTTTCTCTAAACGATTGTTCCTCCTTTGTCATCTTGTTATTCTTTTCTACAATGTATTTCTTGACTTTAAAGGGATTTCTAAGAAAGACACATGTACAGAATAAATCCAACATATGAGAATCATGGAGAGAGGGAAAAAAAATCAGGATTATTCAGAGGGGTGTTGCCAAAATTGCATCATAGACCTTTATCTGGAAAGATCCTCAAATGACCTTGAAGCTAGGAACCTAACCTTTTTTCTGCATCAACAATAAACTGAACAAATCAACTGTGTGTTTGGAAACACATTTGCTAGTAAGAAAACAAGCTTTCCCAAAAACGTTAGCTTCCTGAACTACATCAATTTTCTGTTTGTTAAGCTCTACCCCCAAGGCAGAAGAAAAAAGGCACCCGCTAGTTCCAATTTGGATTGTGGTAAATTGAACTATGGTTTGGCTACTTCAGATCACCCTAATTTAGACCTGATGTCACCCAAATCTTCCACCTTTGTATTTTTAAAGATGTAAAACTTCAGCTTAAAATACGCAACAGTAAAAAAGTTTCTGCTGAATAGCATTAAATGTTGTGTACTACTTTGTATTTTGCTTCTCACATAAATAATAGAAATGTAAATAACATGTTTTTAGAAATTCCCATCCCTTCAAAAGTAAATGCATCCAATGTTCTTTATCTTTCTACATGATTGTTGCTTGCTTTTCTCTCTCTTCCTCTCAAGAAAAGAAATGTAAATGTCCACTTTTATGACAAATATTCTCTCTTGAAAAAGAAGAGGGGGAGGGAAACACGGTTTCCTAATGTCAGGGATGTCAGAGAATGCTGGGGTTCCAGAGAGACAATGAGTATCAGCGCGATCAACTAAGATACCACACAACAGGCCTCATTTCATGCACCACTGAATCACAAATCCATTTTCAAACAGGAATCGTGTAGTTACAGTATCACCCAGACCTGTAGTTCAATAGGTTGCAAGCAGAGCACCGAGCAGCTTTCACCCAGCCGGAAAGTTACAAGGGAATTTGTTTTCATGCAAGCAAAAAAAAGCTGATGCTAGAATTAAAAGGCTATTTGAATTTCACGCAGCCTTTGACTCCACAGCATTCCGTTCCCTACAAAAATGCATTTAATACTCAATTATTCTCATGCTGCTGCAGAACTAGTTCAGTTTTATTATCATTGCTGACATATATCACCTGCAGAGTCACCTAGCCATAATGCCTAACGACAAAGTTGCCGCACGTGACTGTTTGCACTCAGTTTCATATTATTAACCAAAGAGCTTAGCTGAAATTTTATGTGTAACTGAAAAATCTCAAGACTGAACTAGGATGGAGAAAAATAAAAGATTTAGGATGAAAGACATTTCAATTCCATAGTGGAAGATAGATGGAAAGGTGATCTTTACAATGCCTGAGAAACATTTATTGCACAGCACCGAAAACTCTTGTTTCTTCTGGCTATATACAGTTGCTGGTTTTGTACAAGGGAAACAATCTATGCCATCCAGTAAGTTTAAAATATTAAATATTTGAGGTTGCTGGAAGTTTACACAAAGCCTTTACAGATATAAGAATTAAGGGATTAAAAAAACAATAATTTATTAATAAAGTCACTGTTTGGGCACACTCAAGGAAAGCAACTACTTCCTGCAATAAATATATTACCTTTCATTCAAGACTTGCCCTACACTTCATCACTACCTTAAAATTATTTTCAATTGAGTTTCAATGGGCAGTTCAGAGGTCCCGCTGACTTTTTGCCTAAGGTGGGACTAGAACTCACAGTCTCCTGGTTTCTAGCCTGATATTTAATCAGTACACCAAACTGCTTCTCTCAAACTTACATTGATTTTATCTTGTTTATCAATCAGTTTCATTGCAAAGATTATAATGAAATGCAATTTGAAGAGGCTACCAAGAATTCATTTTCAGGAATCCTTAGGAGAATATTCCAAAGGAAATGTAAAAAAATCTGTATAGCTAAAATGGTGACATACCATGAGTTGGACTAGAATCAATATAGAAAGTAAAGAGGATGACACTGATGGAGAAAGGGAAGAAGTTCTATGAAGGCAACGAGCAGATAAACATTGCAGAAGTTCCATCAAGGACGAGAAAGGGTATGAGACCATATCTGACAGATACTCTCCGGATTCACATGAAGGTAGAAGAAAGAGGAAAAGCACCATATTCAGATTTGCAAGATTAGATTAGTATAGCCAATCTTAATAAACGTAGTTTTAAGCATTAGTTTCTTGGTGTGATCTACTGGATCTTGTACGGCTGACAATCGAGAGATTGAAGGAATGCTATGTAAGCTGACTTGACCTCATGGAAGAAAGATGAGATACCAGTTTTGTGAATAAATGAATAAAATATGTTCCAAAAATGTTCCAGATGTGCATCGGAGTCTTTAAAAATAAATTCCAAGGCAAAAAAGACCTGTCTTAATAATTCTATATTAGCCTTAATAGCATTGACACTTTTGAACTTTGATGTTGGAGAAAAGTCCTGAGAATACGATGGACAGCCAAGAACATGAAGAAATGGATGTTCAAACAAATCAGGCCAGAGTTCTCATTAGAGATACAAATGATCAGGCTCAAATTATTTTACTTTGAATACACTATGCAAAGATCCAGCTCTCTGAAGAAAGCTCTAAAGCTAGGCAGGTAGAAAGAAAGAGAAGAGGATGACCAGCAGGAATCTGGATGGATTCAGTTTCAATGGTAATAGGTGCGCTGCTAGAAAACGTGAAGGACCAAGTTAGGGACAGATCACCATGGAGACAATCTACGTATCTACAGGGTCACTAAGAATCAGTTCTAAAAACACATAATCAGTTAATTAACTATATTATTGCATTTTATATTATTGCATTTTATATTATTGTAGCCAGTGATGTTATCATACATTTTAAGGATAATGATATAATTTATAGATCTGAAGAAAGTCTTATTGGCATGAGAAATGTTAGATAGGAGAGGAAGAAAATATTGTCATGACTATTTTACCTACTTTGTATCATTTTGTTCTGGGTCAATGTCATTATACATAAAGTTTTCCTGGGCCATGACATCTGCAATTAAAACCAGAGAGTGTGATTAACTGTCTACAATTTCCCAGAATTTATAATGAGACACATCTAAAAATCTTACAGTATATTAAACACAACATGAAAAGAAAAACAAATGAAGTGACAGTAGGAAATAAGCAAATTCAATTACCAACCTCTAAAAAGTTACAGTGCATCCCAGAAAATGAATGGCCTTTCCATTCATAAAGTGAGCAAGGTGACTTTCAAAACCCCAAGTGACTTCCTTGTAAAAGTAGACTGGCACAATTATCATTTGTCTCCTTAAGAATTTCCCACTCTAGAAGTGAATTCCTAAAGGACTAGTGGCTATGTAATAAGGGTTAAAATAACTAAGAATCTTGTAACATCTGAAAAGATCTAACTTGTCTGATGCAGCTCTACAAAGAATAGTTTTGGATCAATTTATTCTTACAAAAAGCTGAATCTGTAGAATTAAGAGACTAGCAATGGCAGACCTGCTAAAAATCCTTCTTGGCTGCACTCCAGCATAAAAAATGATCTGTTAGAAAGGAGAAGCGGTGTTTTAAACAGGTACTATATTTTTTGTTGATAATTATAAAATAAAAAGGGGTGCCTATTCCAAAGCATCTCAGACATGACAGGACCAAAAATGTTATTTCAAAAGAGAGCCAGTTTATCTATTAGACATATAAGCTTACCTAGATTTGGTACAGAACGGGAAAGATTGCTGCAGAAAGCAAATAAAACAAATGTGCATTTCAGCATCGGTTATAAATAATAATATAAATAATAATATTTATAACAACATATGCAGCTAAGATTTTCAAACAGGAATTAGCATGCATCAATTTCTATATTGCTCATAACACTTGCATGACTCTTAATTTTGAAGATTATATGACTGAATAAAAAAGGCAGAGGTAGAATAAAATGTTGGACCAATAGAAAAAATTGAACTTCACAGTATTTTTGTTACCAACTCCCGAAAGCAACACATTTACATATCTAAAATGCATTACATTTTTTAGGAGCCTAAAAAAAAGGTATAGTTTCAACTGAGGTTTATTCATAAAAATTGGGGAAATATTCAACCAGAGAGTATTTTCACAGCTCTCAAGACTAATGGAAGTAAACATAAAAGTTAAGGAATTTTAAAAAGGCATATTAAGCTCTAGTCTCAAATAAACCAGCAATACGTAACCTGTGAAAAAAGAAATCGAGACCAAAAATGCACATACAGTAGAGGGCTATGTAACACACAAAGAACCAAATAGGAGTTAAGAATTTCTTTCACGAATGGCATTATAATAACCTTCTCTTATTCAGTCATTCTCCAGATGGGTGGCTTTCAAATCCACATGTCTGAGAAATCTCTAAGATGGGACATAATCTACTCCATCAATGGCATCTTAAATTGCGTTGGCTGCTGAGTGCTGGTCCCAGAGAATTGCAAAATAATCACTGATTATCTCTGAATATTAAAAATTCAGCATTATCAATCTTTCTCTTTTCTCCCAAACACTTTTTTAGTTCAGATAGTATCTGGATATGTGGACAACTATTTGGACTAATGTAAGGTACCAGAACAACCTAGGTCAGGGGTAGGCAACCTTGGCTCTTTTATGACTTGTGGACTTCAACTCTCAGAATTCCTGAGCCAGCATGTTGAAGTCCACGAGTCATAAAAGAGCCAAGATTGCCTACCCCTGACCTAGGGTCTTGAAAGCAACTTAAAATGTCCTGGTCAAGTCCTCAATATTAATAGAAAACCTGGCACTCAGGATTTACCTTACTTAACATAAAAAAGAGAGGAAGAGTTAAGCAATGCAGTTCAAATTCCTTGCATGTAAATATGATCACTTTCTTCTTCCAGCATCCCAATCTGCATGGAGATAAGCACAAAGCTAAAAGCTAAATTTTACCACAAAGTGTCACACTTATTTGTGGCTAAACCAAGAAATGCAGTCAAGCAACCCTCGGGGCCCATATTTCTATTTTGAGAGGTGAAGTGTTTGTTCATATACCGTCTACCATTTTCTCCTTCAGCTTAATAGTCAGTGCTCCTCATTCACTAACATTTCTGCCCTTCCCCACTCAATCCAGATAAGATGGAAGGGAAAGGCCTTGCCATTCTGTAAATGTATCTAAAGCTTTTGCATTGATACCCCATTTATATTTCAATGGGACACATGCAATTATTGAACTAGCAATTAAGATGTTGTAACCCTCACAGTGCTGTGATTTGTATTGCAGTATCCCAGCATTTCAAAGGTTCATCGGCCACCACAGTGACCAAAATGGAATAAAATTAAGGACTGGCACTTTAAATTAATCAATAGATGCCTTTTATGAATGATAATGATGTTGATGAGTTCTTGGTGTTCTCTGAGGTTGTTTGACTGCAGATGTTTCATTACCAAGCTAGGTAAGATCATCAGTGCATGGGGGGGATTGAAGTTTGCTGGTTGTTTATTGTATATAGAGTAGCTTCTCCTGCCAATCTTGTTTGCAGTGTGACTTCTTGCGTGATGGTTCCTTGATTAGGAACATACAGTATATTCTCTACAGACCATACGGTATATTCTCTACTATTGGAATAACACATTACATACCGAGAGCTGCCTTTCATATGTGCGGTTTTTATTTTTAATTTTTCTTTGAAAAATTTTCCAAATCCTTTGAGTTTTTCAACTTTGATATCTCTAGAACAACAAAAAAGAGAGAGTAATTAACAAATACCAAAGCGAACATAACGTTGGGAAAAGACAACTTTAGGTGAACGTGCCTTTACTTTGTAACTTCTGGCACCATCCCAACATGTGATTACTCTTTTCCCAGAGTTTATAAAAACAACAGAGAAACAAATGATGCGTAAATCTAAAAGTGGAATCAGTGTTCAGCGGCAGACAATGTTAGGGCATCTCCTACAAGAGTTCAGGCTAACATACAGCAAAGAGCATTTCAATAGCTCCTTTGTGCTTAAGCAGCTGGTTAACACTGAAAGAAAAACGCATATTTAAAAGCAGAAGTCAGACTGCTAGGAATCCATTCTCCCAGGCATTAATAACCATGCTCCATGCAGGACGAAAACAAATCAGAAGAAGCCTATTATATTCTAGCATTATTACTTTGAGGAACACCAACCTTTTATAATTCCTGGAATGAATAATTCCTTTTCCAGAAATTCTGGGAGGGCAAGATGGGAGAGAAGAGAAGATTATTACTAAAAGCATCTATTTCCGATTTGCTCTTAGGGCGGAAGTTAGTTCCAAGCTAAGTTTAACTACTTAGATAAACTGATTGTTAGATAAAGATATTGGGGTGGGGGGCATGCAAGATTGGCAGTGGTAGAGAGATATCAATTCCACTTTCTCCCAAGGGCACCAGTATAGGGAAGATAGTACAGATTATTTCTGGTGATAGGGTTTGCTATCTTAGGCTCTCAAAATTGGGTTAAGGGTTTTCTGTTGAGCCATGCTGGTTAAATATTCTGTAAGCAATTAGTCCAATGAATTTGATGGGTATCAAGTCAGGAAATTTTGGCCTAGTCTGCTCATCAATATTCTAACGTAGTACAGGTAGTCCTAAATGTAGTACACCAGTTCATTTAGTGACAATTTGAAGTTACAACAGCACTGAAAAAAATGGTATGATCAGTTTTCACCCTTATGACCCTTGCTGTATCCCCATGGTCACCTGATCAAAATTCAGACACTTGGCACATTTATGACATTGCAGTATCCCGGGATGATGTGATCACCTTTTGCAACCTTCTGACAAGCAAAGTCAATAGAAAAACCAGATTCACTTAACAATCATGTTACTAATTTAACAACTGCAGTGATTCACTTAACAGCTGTGGAAAGAAAGGCCAGAAAATGGGACAAAACTCACTTAACAAATGTTTCACTTAGCAACAGAAATGTCTGGGCTCTGTTGTGATTATTAAGTGGAAGACTACCTGCACATAGAATAGGGCTACTAAGCAGCAGGAGGAGTTTTCTGACTATACAAGCAGCCAAATCAGTTGAAGAGGCTCCTCTATTAAGAGGTGAGTTCTTACTGAGATCTTCAAATAGAGGCTGGATAGTCATCTATCAGAGATGACATAGTAAATCCTATTCCAAGCAGGGAGTTGAATGGGATGATATCTAAGATTCCTTTCAACTGTATGGTTCTATAATATTTCCTATACTCCAAAAGGGACTGTAGCAACACAGTAAACATACTTGCCCACTTCCAAGAAGACAGCACTAAATACAGCTCTTTTGTAACATGCCTGTAGCAAAAAGCACCAGCTTCCCCCTCGACTGTACAGTATATAAAAATGCCAAGGCACTCAGTCATATAAAGGCTCAAAAGTTCAGACAAACAGTCAAAAGACTACCTACTCACTCTGATTTGGAGGAATTATAACCTTCACTTTGAATTTCACTTTGAATATCCTCATATGTCTCTTCATAGGTATCATCTGAAATATAAAGCAATAAAAAGCCATATTTGCAGCTAAACCATCCGTTGCCATTTGGCAATATAGCAAAAGTGTTAACTTTTCCTATCATCCATTTATTCTACTTCATTAATAATCTAACTAATCTTTTTTGGAATATCCAAAAAGTAGTGCCTGAATTAAACAAAACAGACTTTCAAATTACAAGAGATTATAAAATAAGGAACACTATGAACTGGAGTATGGAATAAAACAAGCATGTGTTTTCTATTCAAAAATATGTCAAAAGAATGCTTCTGCAACTCTGTAGCTTTTATTGCATCCTATAATTGTCTCAATCCTGTAGGAAAGGATGAGGTAGGGAAATCACCCAAAAGATTAACCCCAAAGAATGATTAATCTATCTAACCACCAAATCATTTCATATTCTTATATAAATTAATTTCTGAACTTTATTTTCTGTTGCATTCATATTCTGCCTTTCTTCCAAAGAGCTCAGTTTAACCCAAATGTGATCTCATTTTTATGTTTACAGTACTCAAATATTCTGACTTGTTGAATCAACTATGATCAAGTAAATTTCATGACTAAGCAAGGAATTAGTTTGGATTCTTTTTTTTTTAAAAAAAAGATGATTTATACATACACACCCATTTTGTCATATGCTACTTAGAGCTTTTGGATTGGGGCAAGTAACCAATACCATAAAACCAACCAACCAATAAATAAGAGTCTATAAATTAACCGAATCAGAGACAAGTTCAAAACCATGACTTCTTCTGCTGAGGAAAGTTCACATAAATCAACATTAAAAATTCAGTGACCATAACTTAACCACACCACGTGGAATGAGTACTATCATTTGAAAGTCCGTGTGTCACTAAGGGTAATTTTTTTAATTTGACAGAGATTTTAACTGAAGCATCTTCAAATAAGATTGTCAGTAAAAAGCATGACATGCTTAGCCAAATGGTTTACCAAGATATCTTGGGCCAGGTACTATCAATCAGCCTAACCTAACAAAATGAGGATGAGTTGGAAGAGACCCATATATCTTTCCTTTGAAAGAAGGGAGGAAGAAATGAATAATATACTAAGGAAAAAATGGAGAAAGCAACTAATCATCTCTCCATCGCTGACAAGAGCAAAGTGGAAAGTTCAGACTGAGAAATGACAGAGTATATTATTCAGGCTTTGAGGACTAACAACTTCAGATAAACTCTACATATACAGAAAAATGGGGGGAATTTATTCCTAGAATAGTTTGCTGGGTTCCGAAAAAGAACGTACCAACATGAGCTCCCATTGAATGGATCACGATCAGCCAGTGACTTCCCAGAAGACCATTTGATAACAATTGCAAAATAAGAACATGTATATTAACTACAAACTAACATAGAAGTACTATGGTCCTTCTACTTTTAGAAAATATATCAGATACCCACTGGCAAATCTACAGCTTGAATGTGTCACAAGTCAAAGCAAAATCCTCAATATGAATTATATAACCAGTATATCTGAAAAATTAGGCTTTAGTTAGTGAATGTTATTTGACTTACTTTACTATTGTAGTGGTGTTATAAAATGTAAAGTAAAAATTTAAACATTATTTTTTATGTTTAAATTTTTACTTTACAAACTTTTTTATTGAAATTTTTATAAACATTTTACAATAAAATCCCTCCCCACCTCTTTCCCTCCCCCTCCCATTAACCCTCCCCCCCTTCCCAGAGTACAGAGCTAAAAACAGCAAAAAAAACATAAAAAATTAAATAAACATCAACGATTATACATAAATCCTGAAAAATTTTAGAACCCCTTTAACTCCATTACAATAAAATCAACAAATCTAAACATAACAACTTTATACAATAAGTTATTCAAAAGCTAAATAATACTTTCTAATCCCATATTTGTTCTGAACAAACTTTACCCATCTTTTCCATACAGAATTGTATCTCTCTTGTGAAAGGTCTTTCAGATAAGCCGATATTTTTGCCATTTCTGATAAATAAGAAACTTTAAAAAACCATTCCTCTAAGGTAGGCAAGGAGTCTTTTCTCCAGTATTGCCCAATCAATAACCTTGCTGCCATAATAAAATTCAACATTAAAATAATCTCTTTACTATCACAATCTTCAATAATACCTAACAAAAATAATTGTGGTGTAAATTTTATTCTTCTATTAAAATTTTTTTGAATATTCCACCAAATCTTAATCCAAAAAGCCTTTATATTTCTACAAGACCACCAAATATGATAATAAGTTGCATCCATACAACCACATCTCCAACTTTACAAACTTTTTATAATTGAGAAGTATGTAGGTTGAACTATTGGAATCTCAGTCAGTAGTGAACTTGGTTTTCCTCTTGTAAATGTTTTATTATCAATCTAGTAACCCTTCAGCTAGAAGACCAAGTGTTATCAAACATCAAGATTCCAATAAAAAAAATATAAAAGTAAAATGAAAAAGGAACCCAAATGCTTCTAGATATGAAACTTTGAAACAAATGATTTCAGGCTTATGGCCAACTGGAGGGAGTGTGTACAAAATCTAAAGCTCTAAACCTTGAGTATTAAACTCCAAATTCTTCCAAAATTTGCCACAAATTGTCATTTTTCATGTGACAAAAGGGTGGCATTATTAAACACATGGGATCTGACCATATCAGCTGATTTCTAACATATTTAAATTAAACTACTGTCTTGGCCCCACCTACCTTTGAGAGTGTGTTCCCTGACACACTACTCAAAAGCTTTTGATATTTCTTTCCTAAAAGGATTTCAACCAGGAAAAAAAAATAAAGCTATGTTTTTTTCTGTCTACAGACACTCATACTCTTTCCAATAGTTTGGGTACTAGTGCAGAGAATTCACTAGGAATCTGGAAAATTTTTCAAGAGTTAAAACTACCTTTGCATAAGTTCTTTCAGTAGTTAATATTCAACCCCACTTTGCTCTATAAGAAGTATTATTTTTATACTTACTGGAATCTAAAGCAAATGATCTGTGGGCATCAGAGGATTGTCTGCAATACAACATTTAAAAAAAGTAGTGTACATTTGAAATTTTAAGAGTCACCAAATTTTTCAAAAACTTAAATATGCATGTACTTTCTAAATGTCTACGAAACACTTACAGGCCTCTCTCTATTCCTTCCACATCATCATACACTTCCTCTGCAGCTTGCTCCAATTTAGCAGTTCTTAGATCTGGGTTCCATTTCTCTTCATCTGTTCTTAAAGATTCCAGGCATACATAATCATCTGAAACTGGAGCAGAATTCTTGTTTCAAGTTCTCCTGAACATATACAAAAGAGTAAACCTGCCTAAATGCTGAAATTGCAATATGCATTCTAAAGATATAAGAGAAAGCCATCAAAACTGCATTTTCTTTTCGATGCGTGCTTCTCCAAAATATACCACTAAGGGGAAAATAGCCAACAATTTTTTGCCTTGATGTTCCCTCTACATTGCCCCTCTACCGAAGCAATCCTTTAAAACTGCAGTCATAGTCGTTAGTTATAACAACACAGTTGTTATAAAACTTGCTGGCTTGGGAATTCTGAGAACTGAAGTCCACATATTTTAAAATTGCTAAGGTTGAGAAACACTAACATATGCTGGTTCAAGATGGCGGCGCCTTGCTTGTCTGCAGCTGCTTCAGCTCTCAAAAGTGTTGGGGTTATAGAAGGGAATCAGCGATCTGGTCTGAATGACTTTTTAAAAATAGACACAAGAAAGCAGAGTTGGATTGCTAAACTTTTATATGAATGTCAGTCCATATTGGATATGAAGATATTTAGTGAGAGAGAAAATGTCGAGAAAACTGTTCTGGAGAATCTGCATGGCTTCAGATTACTATGGTGGAAAGAGTCAACAGCAGAGGCACCGGCATTTAACACGGAGGGTGAGAGATTGACTGCAATGTCTGGAAGAGCAGGGAGGAAGAAATGGAATAACTAGAGGTGGAGTCAGCATTGTGCTCAGCATTTTGGGCAGTGAAGACAGTGTTTCATGTAGCAGAGGCAGAGTGGGGTGGTAGCCACTGCAGCTGGCTGACCATCTTTGGAAGAGGAGGAGGCAGTGTGACTGAAAGAGGAAATGTGGTAAACATGGAGGTCTAACGTCTAGACTAAAAACTAGACCATACAGAGTGTCACTTCCATCTATTTTGTTTGCAAATGCTCGCTCCTTAGAGCCAAAAATGGATTACTTGAAACTAGATTTAACAACAAACTGGGAGGTGAGAAATTGCGGTGTCATCATTGCAACAGAAACTTGGTTAAAGCCCTTCAGTCAAGAGATACAAAGGACATCTTGTCGAGAGATGTTAAGTATGCAGAGGTATAAGGTAATAAGTGTCACTTAACTCAAAGTAAAGCAGCAGTAACATCAACACCCATTTACTCACAATCTCCATCCTTTGCCAATTCTCCTCCAGAGAAAGACTGATTTGTTTCCTCTTGAGGCATGTTCTTCTCATTCCCTCTTATTCTGGGCTTCATAAATATACTTTGAGGACTGCAAATCTGTTAGCACACATTACACTATTTGAGTTAGAGCCTTTTTACAACAATCCTTGCTAAATTCATGATGTAGCATAGAGCAGAGATCCTGAACCCCTGGTCCTTGGACCGGCACCAAGCCGCGCAAACAAGCAAAGCCCCATCCATGGGATTCAGGCAATACATGAAACCATGCCCTCTCCGGTCCACAGAAAAACCTCTCTCCATGGAACTGATCCCTGGTGCTCAAAAGGTTGGGGACCTGTGGCATAAAGCACCTTTTCTACGATAGAAATCAAAGCAGATTAAGTAAAGCACTGAATAATTTCTGATCAGGCATTATCCAGGTCCAAATCTGTCTCCATCTTGTACCTTCTATTCATGTTACAGCACAGACATGTTTCATCAGAAGAAAACATTCTCCAAGTTGAATGTTCTCCTTTGAGTAAATTCTACTGAACTTTTAAGACATGCAAAATGCATGTCCTACTTCTTTCCCAAGCCAACGCCAGGCTAAGACAATACACTAGGTGAGTAGAAAATTTCAACAGGGAAAGAAGCAAGCAGAGCTATTTCACATATTCAACATTATCAATTATCCCAATTAAAAGATCTTCTGAAACATCTGTGAATAGAGTGGGCAGCAGCTTGCAAGGTTTTCAAGAAAGACACATCACTCTTTACAAGATAGGATGTGGACATATAATCCAATCAGAAAATCAACATTAAGAATTGGCCACTTACTAAGTCAGAAAAATAACTGGTAGCAATATATATTTGATATTCTGAAGATCATACTTTGAGGATACTCAACACTGTAGATAATTGGACTAACAATTTCAAGGTACTGAGACTAATCACAGCATCAATGAAATCCATAAGAGATTCTGTACCAGAATCTGTCTGTCATTCAGAATATCAAATTGTTCCTTCTTCAAATATCCTGTTTATTTTTGTGTTAACCATTCACACTATACAGCTGCATAATTTACTCACTGTATTAAAGGCTTTTTAAAAACCAACACATAGGACAATGGTACATAAATATTCCTGTCTTAATATTCCTTCACCTATTTGTAGCAAAACAAAGAATGCTTTAATTTTCACAGATTGGCCACAAAATAATAGTTGTGTTGACCTGGACATTGTTTTAAGGAATATCTTGATCTGCATCTATGTTCTATGTCCTTCCAGTGAAATGTGGCCAGAATCCAAAAGACACTACTCAAAGTTTCCAAAGCATGCAGAAAAACATACACAAGCAAATTTTCCTTCCTGACTTTAATCCACAACACCAAATGGGTTGTCATTTCAAACATTAGCTAATCTTCCAAAGCAACCTTTGAAGCACAAGGAAAAGTATGCTGGCACAAAAGTTATGAGAGAAATAACCTGCATGCAAGATAAATTATTTTAATGCTTGTATGATTGCCAGATACTTCAGCTTATATTATTCTCATATGGAACATTTGAAGAAAATTAATTAGTTTACTAGGAAAAGTGGTTGAGAATTGTCTTGTTTGTTCAACACATTTTCAGTTCTATCAACAAATAAAATTTAACATATTTAGATTGTGTTTATATTATATAATTTTGGTTATATAATTGTAATCTGAAACACAATGGATCAATGACTCCAATAACATTAAACTATCATCACAATGGCTTGACTTTAGGACTAGGTCTATCCAATTTAAATAATGAAATTGCTATGTAGAAAAAAAGAGTAATTAGCTATAAGTTGTAAAATATTGCCTTGTGTTTATTATTCTAAATGTCATACAAATTTTATCATAACAAAAAGTAATTTGTCCTGAGGTAAAAAAAATAATGAATTCCAGAATAACTGCTGAAACTTGATCCATTTCTGTTTTAAAATTAATCTTCTCCTATCTAGGTGCTAGCTAAAAACACACAATAGCCAATAAGTTAAAGGAAGCTTACTAGAGCAGGAGTGAGCAATTAATAGCCTCTTTATGATCTGTGGACTTCAACTCCCAGAATTCCTGAGTCAGCTGGTTCAGGAATTCTGGGATTTGAAGTCTACAGGCCATAAAGGGGCCATTAACTGTCCACCCCTGAATTAAACAGATGATCTCCATAAAGATGGATATTTCTCCAGCAAGCCAAGTTTTGGTGTGCTGAGGTGTTGTTCTCTTTTTTATTTCTCACTCCGATTATCTCATCATAGAGATTGAGAGCACATACCTTAGTATCTTCCTTTTTCACAGACTTGAAAGCTAGAATCAAAGTAGAAATTAGAACATTCCATTTTGCAGTTTCTTTCAACTAGTTTTATAAAACTGCTAGCTACAGTAAGGAGTTACAGATAGATTGTTATATTACCTATCTTTTCCATCCAGGCTCCTTTACATTACCAGCTAAACAAAGTGAACCCAAACCAAGATTTTTTTTTTTTTTAAAAAAAGACTAAAACTACAAGGTTCAATGCACCACTAATGCCATTAAAAGTAATCTTAATTGTATCCCCATCCAAATCTAAAAAATGAAAAACCTGTGTAATAAAAGTCTATAAAAGTTCACCTCTTTTCAGAGGCACATAGATTAAAAAAAAGTTTAAAACTGTTTAAATAGTACAAAAAGAAAAGGAAAAAAAATGGAGAAAAGCTTGATGAATGTGATGAAACGTAACACAGAATATAAAAGCCAAAATTACAGTGCACTGATGATTTTAGTTAGTATCTAAGTACACCGATATTCCCAAATCGGGTAATGAAACCTCAGTTAGTAAACAACATTCCCAACAGCACCAAGATCTCCATAGTTCAATCCTGAGCTACATATACAGTATTGTCTTCTGTTGGATTTAAAATGTTAACTATCAACTAATTTCTCACCTCTGCTACTTAAATTCTCAAAGTATTACTTCTGCCCAGCAATGTTAATCACCAAATTCCCTCATGTTGCAAGCTAATGAGTCTTGGGAGTACTTGCACATCTAATGAACAATATACACCAGATAGTCTGCATTAATGAAACAAGAGTTAAAACTCACAATGTATAGGCTGTTGAGTAGAATTAGGACAATTCTCTTGCTGTTCCTGGTAGTATATGGTTTCTTCATAGGTGTTTAGATCTTCCATTTCAGTACTGAAGATAAAGGAAAGGGCCATACCATTATCATTTTATGAAAAAGAACTTAGAAAACAATGAACGTATTTGGATATTTTTGATGCCCTCATCCCAGAAATGAACAGTATGTTGGCTGGAATCAGTTCTGTTTCTATTCATCAACAGAGGTTTACAGATGGTTCTACTAGCCAAGAAGTCTTCTGAATGGTTTATATTTCTATTATGTACTGCTTTTCAATATTATATGGAAACTTACTCATAAAAGTACAATAACAACAAAATAAGACTTCTAATGCTGTTGATATGAGCCATCTTAATTGGTTCCGGCACATTTGTCTGCTTATTACCAGATACCCAAGGGACATACATTCCTAGCAAGAAAGATCCAGAAATCCAAGCCATGTTCAAAAACCTGTCTAAATAGAACCTACCAGACAACTTAGATAGCTTAAACCACATTCATTCCAGACACACAAACGAGTGTAATCAAAATCCACATCTGCTGTTGAAATTAACTATGGATTAAGTATTTTTGGATCATGTTGATGCAAATATTTGCAGTTTTCAGAACTTCAGAAACTTCAAGCCAGAAAGAATGAAAGAGAAGGGGAAGCAATTTCTCTTATTGGAGAGTTAGGAAAAAATAGCACATTATTTCAGATCCCCAGAGCATGCATACTTCATGTGCCTTGGTAAGGCCACACTTGGAATACTGCATCCAGTTTTGGTCACCACGATGTAAAAAAGATGTTGAGACTCTAGAAAGAGTACAGAGAAGCGCAACAAAGATGATTAGGGGACTGGAGGCTAAAACATATAAGGAACGGTTGCTAGAATTGGGTATGTCTAGTTTAACGAAGAGAAGGACAAGGGGGGACATGATAGCAGTATTCTAATATCTCAGGGGCTGCCATAAAGAAGAGGGAATCAAGCTATTTTCCAAAGCACCTGAAGGCAGGACAAGGAGCAACGGGTGGAAACTAATCAAGGAGAGAAGCAACCTAGAACTAAGGAGAAACTTCCTGACAGTGAGAACAATTAATCAGTAGAACAGCCTGCCTCCAGAAGCAGTAAATGCTCTAACACTGGAAGTTTTTAAGAAGAGACTGGACAGCCATTTGTCCGAAATGGTGTAGGGTTTCCTGCCTGAGCAGGGGGTTGGACTAGATGACCTCCAAGGTCCCTTCCAACTTTACTAATATTACTATATATGTACCCAGGAGTACCAAAAAAAAGACAGATTAGTACAACCTATTGGTACAATCTAATAAGTCCAACTAGAAGTAGTAATGTTGTAATATTTAGGAAAAAACACACAACAAAGAAATACTTTGCCATATATCTGCATTACCATTTCAATGTTATCTATATAAACACTGTATCCCTGATTTAAATCCAATTAGTGATATTTGTGTATTACTTCCATTCAGCCTTTCTTCCAAGGCAATGTAGCCAATGCCGCTTTGCTTTTCTCCTGAGTATAAAGCAGGAAGAGAGGAAAATCTAGCCTATGAAATAGATTAGACCGGGATACAGCTTTGCTACTTTGCAGCCAAATTTACAGATATACTACAGCATTGCACTGAAATCCGCTACTAAAAAATTATGATACAAGTCAAGAAAGTTAATTGTGACTGATGGATTGCTCCATTTGTGAATATCTTGGCAATGAGCAGGGAAATGTGAGATAGTAGTTCATAACAATGCTTTGCATTAATGATTTTGGCAAAAAGTAATAAAAAGTAAAACACTAGGAATATTGCCTGAAGCAAATATTTTCAATTACAGTATGGTTTATAAAGCAGAGATATAGCACCTATAAATTTATTCCTGTTGTTTTTTTTAATGCAAAGAACACTGCTTTAATCAGGTCCAGCCAAGAAAGCCAGTAATGAAGAGATTTTCTTAAATGTTTACAGTTTTTCTCTGTTCACCTTATCTTTCCTTTGCCAAACCTACTAGCTGTTCCATACATATATACAAAACTGAGGATAGGACACATATATACAAAGAGTTTCTGAATCTCATTTTTAAGATAGAATATATGTACCCACAAAACACTGATTCATGTTACAAAAGGCAGCTTAGCATTGCTATTCACAGAAACCTGAAACCACAGCAAAACATATACATAAAAGAAATCTGGAGTGAATTCCTAGACAGTAAAGATATATCCGCTTACATTTCGGGAGTCAAGTATGCATCATCTGCAGCATCTGAAAAGAAACATTTAAAGGAAATAATTAACAGAACCATACAATATAATAGAAGTTAAATTTACCAGTGTAGTGCTTGAATAGATCCATTCTCATGAAGAGTTCCAAAGGTCTCTGGATTTCTACACACCTATCCCAAACATTGGACCAATTATTGGGCTAATACTGGAGAAGACTATGAGAAAAATGTCCAGGTAGAAGTTTCATTATATGTTAGAATTGCTTGGCATTGAAATGGGTAGCATATACATTTTATAAAAATAAATAAATAAAGGAACTCAAAGGGGTTAAAAGTGAGCAATATTTGTCACTCGTTAAAACTTGAATTCAGCGCTGAGAGCCATGGTGATGCAGGACACTTCAGACTGATGAACACAAGAGAGGGGGAACACCTTAAAATAGCAGCCAACATCACTTACTGAATTTTGGGACAAAAGAAAAACAACCCCAGATTTAAATGAACAAATTCCTTATTCTTCAATAGCTATCAGGATATGTTGAAACAAGTGCCTCACTTCAATAGAAATAACTACAGTTCTGGGCACCTAAGGACCATTTCTTTCTAAGTAAATACCCTACCTGGAAAAGTCTGTTGGAAGGCACCAAGATCTACCTTGGGAGGCCTTGGTGGTTTCTTTGGAGGAAGGCCAAGCTCTTTGATGGAAGGAAGGAGCTTGATTTTTGGAACTTTGGCATCTTCATCATCAGGACATCTTCCTATACCACAGAAATGAAATACTGTTAAGATTTGAGGACAGATGAGTAGAAAATGTATATTCATGAAACAACAAATTGTTTTCTTCTAGTTCCAGCATCTTTCTTTTCTATTCTTGAAGTTATGAAGAGAAGGTCCATGCCAATGTATGCCTGCCCTGGCCTTTTGGCTGCAGAACTGGCAGCATCTGTACCACATAACCAACAAGGTATCATTTAATGTCTTCCAAACTCTGATTCCTAGCATTTTGCAGAGAAGAGGAGAATCACTCATCCAAATGTTACAGCCCAAACGGGCAATTTTTTGATCACAGGAACCATATTTCTTTTCCCCCCAATTTATTTATTTGATGGATGAACACTGCAATGAGTGAGCAGTGATGCAAAAATATCATTGGAGCAAAGCGGGATAAGATTCTCATGTTTCGGTGGCAGAAGGGTAGCTAAAATATATTCGTCTTAAAGGATTAGACTCGATTTTTTATTCTTGTACTTTTCTGCAAAAAAAAAAAACTCTTACAGCAAATCGTTCTGCCATTTAATCTGCAGCAAGGCAAGTAATTTTAAATACATTGGACTTAATTGGGAGACCCAGATTCGGGACTCCACTGACACACAGGGATACCTAGATGACTTTGGACCAGACATTCCTTCTCAGTTCAACCTATACTAAATTGTTAAGGGATAAAATTAATGAGCTGCCTCCTAGTCTATGCCATTTCTCTGAGAAAACTTGGGATATAAATGTGGTAAACAAATAAAGCAATGGCCTTGGGGACTGCAAAAAAAATGCAGTCTTGCATATTGTATGCAGTAAAATTGAAAAAGGAGAATGGTTCAACCCAAATTATTCAAAGCCTAGAGCAACTTCCCTAAATTTAGGACTTTTTTGATTAAAAAAGGGAGAGGAAGGCATGGCAGCACTGAAACATAGACAAAATAGTTGAAGATTCTTTTAATCTATGAAACTTATATGGCCATCCATCTATCCAGTGAAACTGTGTGAGGCCATATAAATTTGATGAATAAAATCATCACCACCACCACCCCAGTTATTTGCTTAAGATGGGCAGCCAAATACATTTCCTAAATAAAATAAATTCTATTTTGTCTGTGGATGTTGTCATAAATCCTAAACTCATTTAATGAAACTATATGATAAAAAAGTCAGGGCATTACTTCTTCACACAACCAAAAGATATTGGACAACTTTGTGTTGGATAAGGCCATTAGCAACCAAAAGCCATGATAGCTACAGAGTTACTGATTTTAAGAATTTGTATGCCACCTTATAAAATCAACTCAATATTCTTTTGCTGAGGAAAATGAATAAGAGGATGTGATGATGCATCTCTCCTGCATGCGGACTGAAAAATAAGCAGCTAATAAGATGGGATTTGTATGATCTTGCAGAACTTGTTTGTTATTTTATGACAGTCATATTATATGTTAGACTCATAAAAATGGAAAAAAACTATGACTCAGCACTGAAAAGCCACCTATAAAGGTCAGATGGGAGAAAATCCTGGAAGCTACATTCAAAATCTTAGCGTATGAATCACCTGCATTCATTGTAACTTGGCAAAATTACCATTTAATAGTAAGTTCCTGTAAGGCAACTATTTCCAGGAAAAAATAAAATCAATTAAATATTAATCTTCTTGAGTGTTGGCTTTGGTCCTGGATTTTGTGAAGAACCTTCCCGATAGTAGGTTTCTCCTCCTGAGTTTGCAAAAATTCATTTCAGCAGCCACAACAGTATGTTCTGAATGTTTGCCTGAGGAGCCACATTCTTTCTCTTTGGTTACTATAAGAGCAGGCACATTGCTTAATATTTATGAAGAACATATGCTGATTAGTAGCTAGTTGGGTGCCATCACTTCAAGGCTTTAATCAAACAATAGAGAAATAACACAGTCAGAAAGCTTAATTTTTATCCGTCTCCTACAAGTATTAAGCTATAGTCTGTGAAACAAGGCATGGAGTTCGCTGTTGCATTAGCTGTCCCATTGTCACCTATGTAGCAAGTTGATTTGACGATGCGTTAGAAAAAACTTTATGATATTTTGGCACTCAGATGTCCCCAAACAGAAGTTAAGCTTATGTTAGTTTAAGAATTCTCATTCTAATAAAGAAGGAGTAACTTCTATGCTGGCTGGTATGATATGAACCTTTATCTACCACCACCCTCTATCACTATCCAAACATTAACAGCAAAATGTTATTGGCATTCCCCAATTGTGTTAAAAGTTAATGTATATTTTAATAGCTTCATATCAGAAATAAAGTCAACAGAATCTATTTGTATTGGACTCTTTCATGTTTGTAAATAGTGAGACAAGCATGACCCAAACATGGATATATGATACTTCTAAAAGCCTAGGAATCAGCTGTAAACTAATCACTTTTTGCCTGTGCTCTGGCTATAATTGTTCTTAGGCCTATCAGAACAATCAGAAAAGAGAAAAAAATATTAAACATGATATTTACCATTTGAAGCCTTGCTTAGACTGTTTAAATTGTTCAAACTACTTGGAGAAAAACCAGCAACCGCTTTATTTAAGCTTGTATGACTTCTTGGAGGAACCGGAGGTGAAGTTGTAGGAACAAATTCGTTGTATACATGGGATTGAGGCTTACACATACCAAGGACCATCCCTTGCTTAAGTCCAGCTATTTTTGCTTTGTCCTCTGTCAAAATCGCAACATTAGCAACTGGTGGGTGGGAAAGAGAAGTTGTCCTGATTGTACACTGTGGTGGTGTTGCATCATATTTTTGGTCACCTTGTGCTAAAGCACTTTCCCAAATGTGCAGTGTGTTGCGAAAAGAACTGCTTGCTCCTTCTGACCCTTGAGGAGAAAGACAATATCTTGGATGTGGTTTCGGTGATTCTTCTCCTGATGAAGATGGCTTGCAGATGGCCAAAGAGAGGTTTGACTCTTTCCTATCTTTGATCTTGACCTTTGGGAATACCATAGGCTTCACTTGCCTGATTTCCAGTTTCTGGGATGTGTAACTGAACTGCTTGGTTTGCTGTTCAGGATCTGGAACCTGCCTCTGGTGCAAGGGTTTTGGTGTGTGACAAGACACAGATGAGCCGCCAGCATTTTGCCGTGGACTGAATTTGGCAGAAGGCTTCTTTACAGACTCCAGGAGCATATTGGAAAAATTGGAATCATTTTGAAACATTGCTCGAAGACTGCCAAAGTCTCTGGGTTTTTCCTACAATAGACAAAAAGAGAAAAGGTAATTGTCGGTTGCAGAGCTACCAGTGAATTACTGCATGGTGAAAATGTAACTCTGTCACTTGGGCTGGAACTAAATTAAAGTCTTCCCAGGCCTCCTCTGAATATCCATTGTATCACAGTAATAGTTTAATCATTAGCATATTGGAGCTAATACTAATATAAATAACGAAAGCTGGATAGAAGCATGACTAGGGAAGACTGAAACCTTTGTAGTGAGGAAATTATGTCCAACTATCTACTATTAATAAGAAGAGATTTTTTATCAGATTAGTCCAGAAATACTGTGTTTCCCTGAAAATAAGACCCGGTCTTATTTTTTTGTGTGTCCAAAAGAGGCACCAGGTCTTATTTTCCACTCACCTCTGGCGCCGACAGCGCCATACAGCCAGCCCACTTCTTCTGTGACTGAAAGAGAAGCTTCATTCTGCAGCTGAGAATGGAGCTCTGGCCAACATTTCTGCAAGCCCTCTGCAGCCAAGAACCGAACTATAGATTGAATCCATAGCTCGGTGCTTGGCTTCAGAGGCCTTCCAGAAAGCCTATGAAATGTAGGCCAGCAGAGTATGCCACAGAAGTGGGCCGGTGAGGAGAGGCAGGCTGCAACGGTAAGTGGTTGTGGGGCACGTGGGTAGCTCCATCCCCCCATCCCCGCCCTAGCTTGATTTTTATGCATCTCACCCCCAAACTAGGGTTTATTTTTGGGGTAGGGCTTGTATTAGGCCAAGATCCAAAAATCAAGCTAGAGCTTATTTTTGGGGTAGGTCTTACTTTTGGGGAAACATGGTAGTTAATCTGGTAACCACCAGAATTCCTGGGCTATATTTCTTACTTTCCATTAGCCATTCTCACTCAGGTTAATATGAGTTCCAGTCCAAAACTTAATCTGGAGAGTTCCTGATAATCTGTCCATTGAGAACTCTAAATCAAATTATCTTAACAACTGCTCTTGCTTTTCTCTCTATTTCTTGCCATTGATAGGCTGGAAACTATACACAATTTAATTTTGTATGGTAGGGGTGGAGAATGAAAGAATGAAATAACACAGCACTTTTTGCAATCATAACTTTTGGGCCCAGAAATCAACTTCCACAAATCATGGCTCAGAGCCTCATTGTAACCATTTATTTCTTCCTGTTTTAAAAAGGTCCTCCAGATATGCTGGGGCAACTTTTCCCAAAATGGATAACAAATTCTGGGAAATACACACCTTGCAAATTTGGAGGAATAGGGTGGTACTAGTTTGAGCTGTTTGATGAACTTAATGGACTCGCTTAGCATGAGGAACATGTATGTTAACTGGTTTTATCCCAAAATAGATCAGCGATTAGACAATCCGGGGAAACAGACAACCATAGACAGAAGTTCCATTATGCTGAAAGAGACATGCTGATGACTTTAATAAGAAAGCAACACAATTGAGCCTTGTCTTGAGATGTTATTGAATTTTGTATAATTGCATCCAACTTATTAAATACAAAATAGTCTCCTCTGAATAACCTCTCATAGTCAATTCCATTGTTTCCACATTAAACAGTGTGATGTAAAACATCCAAGGGATACTTCAGTTGTTCTGATTGTACTAGAGCAGCCAGCTGCACAATACAACCAGCCATGCCAAAGACTCTAGTTGAAACTGGAATCTATCTGCAATTAACACGGCCATACAAGAAAGACAAATGAAACCCACTGATCTTCATCTAAAACACCACGCAGAGTTATGGCTATAACCAATGGCAGCTAAGATTAAATAAACAGCACTGTGTCTGCAGCATGGGCACAATATCTGCATGCTTTTTAAGGAACAAAAAACAGCCCAAACACATAGCATTGTTTATGGTTCTTTATTGAAAACCAGGTGCTCCTTTATTTCTAAATTCTCTTAGATGGTACGCAGAGATGGCCCAATGAAAACAGAAGCCTTTGCCAGGCCACAACACTGCAACAAGGCATCCCAGAAGGATTGTATTTCTGAGAAGAATTATGGTATTATGAGTTAAAACACAGCTGAAACAACAGGGCTGGATCCAGAAGAGATGCCTCTGCTTCTAAAGAGCACCACAGGTGCCACGGCTTATCCATGAAGCACAGCACAGCATGCTGGAATTTTTGAATGTAACTCTGACAAAGCCAGGGATGCTGCGGTGGCACAATATACACACAACATCATTCCATTAGAACTGGGAGAATTTATAAATCCTTCTTCTTCCTTACAATCTACTCTGATCCTTTCTTTTTAACAAATCGGATTTGTTTCCCACCTTTAACATTTTTATAAATAACGCAAGGTGGCAAATACATCCCACACAACATCCTCCTCCTATTTTTCCCACAACTGCAAATCTGTGAGGTGGGTGGGGCTGAGAGAGGGAGACTGGCCCAAAGCCATGTAATTATCTTTCCTGGCTAAAATGGCATTTGAACTCATGACCTCCTGCTTTCTAGCCTGGTGTCTTAACCAATTGTTATGGTATCTTGTTAAACCTTAATTTTTAGAGGCAGGATATCCAAATGCAAGATTCTGGGGGGCAAAGTTCCCTTTTTTCTTACTCCAAAATCAAGTTTGATAAGGCCTAATAATTCTTCACTTATCACCTTTCTAACTAAGAGGGAAAAAGAAAGCAGTTCACAATGGAAGAGAAAGAGAAAGGGATCTCTCTTACTAATTAGAAATCCTTTTCATATGCAAACACCTCTGAAATAAATTCTCTCAAGTTCAATAGTAATATAATCCTTCACTCAATAAACCAGGAATTCCTGTGGAAAGCACCAATATAACGCACCTAGAACTTTTCAAGATACCTGAGAGCCCAATAGATCAGGGCTTTTCACCCATTGTACCACTTTTAGGATATGGCAACATCCAAGTACCACCAATCGCCTAGCAAGGTGTGAAAAACTTGACCAAAAAAAGAGAGGAAAAAAGTGATAAAGTACAGGTAGTCCTCGACTTACAACAGTTTGCTTAGTGTCTATTTGAAGTTACAATGGCACTGAAAAAGTGCCCCCCAAGCCACAGCCGAGCAAGACACCTGCCTGCCCATCTGGTGGCGTTCTTCCTCCTGTCTGAGGTTTTCATTGTTGTGAGCATTTCTGTTGAAGATTGGCAGTGGGGGTGAGGTGGAGGGTGTTTGGTTTTTATTCCTCCCGTCTGCTGGGTGGTTGCAGCAGGTTTTGGTCACTTCACATGACCCTGGGACACTGTGACCATTATAAATATGAATTAGTTGCCAAGCATCTGAATGTAAATCACAAGACCCTGGAGATGCTGCAACATTCCAGCTGATCGGCGCTTCTTCTGGGCTCAGTAGAAGCGCCAGGATCAGTGCTACTTTCCAGCTGATTGGTGCTTCTTCAGGACTCAGCAGAAGCACCAGGATCAGTGCCGAGCTCCAGCTGGAGCCTGGCGCTGATCCTCATGTTTCCACTGAGCCCTGACAGCCCTGAAGAAGCGCCGATCAGCTGGAAAGCGGCACTGATCGTAGCGCTTCCACTGAGCCCTGACAGTCCTGCAGGTCCAGCCATCTCTCGCTCAGGCTTGTGCGGTGCTGCCACCGGTTCAACTAATTCCCTTTCCCCGCTACCACTTTTCTAGGATGGTTGCGTACCACCTGCCAGGTGCCAATGTACCACAGGTGGTTCCCTTACCACTGGTTGAAAAGCCCTGCAATAGATGACTGATATTTATGACTAACATATAACTATAAACTGTGGTTTACAAGCTACTATAGTTGCATCAAATCAGATAAGCCACAACTGTATGATATGTAACAGTGTTATGGATTGGTACAAATATATTACTGAAATCTAGAGATACATGTGTCACTTATGTTCTACAATGACAACAAAGTCAGAGTTGCAACTGTTTTTACTACAAGTTTTTATAGTAAATTACTTTATTACTACAAGTTTTTTTATTGCATATCCTGCCTTAAACGAATGCAAGTGATTTTTAATTAAGTCTATGAACATCAGGGCAGGATGAATGGGAACTATTACGTAACAGTCACAGAGTTGGGAGGGACCTTAGAGATCTTTTAGTCCAACTCCCTGCTCAAGCAAGAGACTCTATCCCATTCCAGACAATTGGATGTTCAAGCTCGTCTTAAAAATGTCCAGTGATGAACCATCCACAACTTCTGGAGACAACTGTTCTGCTGATTAATTGTTCTCATTGTCAGGAAATTTCTCTTTAGTTCTAGGTTGGGTTGGGTCTTTCTTTGATAAGTTTCCAACTGTTACTTCTTTCTCTGCCCTCAGGAGCTTTGGAGAATAGGTTGACCCTTTCCTCTCTGTGGCAGCCCTTTAATCAAAAAGCCAGATCTTTTGGTCCAAGCATTTTTCTAAGAGATTTTGGGTGAGGGTAAGATCTAGGGTACAAGAGCAGAGCAATACTCCCCAAAGATTTATAAAGGAAGACTCACTATAGTTTCACTTTAAGAATCTGGTATTAATTTTGTAAATCTGAAGAGGATATGCTGGGAGAATCATTTGTTTCCAGGTAGTAAATACTCTGACTTTAGGTGGCACATGTTGCCACATGCATCAGGGACTACAACTAGCCTCTGACACACACTGCACCCAGGAAGTATCTATTCATGTAGATTTTCCCGCTAATCCACCCACAGGATCTCAAAATACCAGAAAAGAAAAAAGAGAAAAGAAGCCATTACTCAGGTAGCTTCACAATGAAAAATAAACCAAACAGTTTCAAGTGTAGAGGTGTAGAGGCAGACATCTCAGGGCATTTGTTTTACTAGTACAATCTAGTCTTTATTTACACAGAAGCAGCTCTATTCTTCAGTGGGTCTTACTTTACGTTTTGCTTCCCCCCCCCCCCGCCAAAAGGCACAATCTTGTCCCATGACTCTTAGGCAGAATTAAAACAGAATTGGTCACAAAATCCAAATAACATTAGGAAAGGTAGCAGTAGAGAGACAGTCAGTTGTAACTCTTTGCTACTTTCCAGTTTTAACCATATTTTTGCAGCCAGTGGCAGCCTTACACAAAAGATTGCAGATACAAGTACACTGTAAAAAGAAGCTATTCTAGTTTCCCCTTCTGTTGTTCGAGGACTGTTTGTAGAGAAGCCACGTGTGCGGATGGATAAAGTTCACTTCAGAAACACGCTAAACCCCAGCGCGGAAAGCAAGGAAGGGCTTCAGCTAATCACCAACGGCTCCAGAAGCTCTGAAGCACAGCTGTGGCCCCGGTCCAGATGCTGCTGTTGTGCTTTGCTCTAGAAAATAATGCCCTGCTCCAGAAACAAATCCAAAGTATAACTAACCCCCTCCAAAGCAATCTGATCCGGTCTATCCCATTCCCCCCCGCTCGAAAAAAACTTCGCACTCCTGCTGCGCCTGGCAACGATCCCTAACTAGCGGCACAAGCCGCTGCATAGTTAAGAAAATCGATATTTTGTCCCCAGCCCCACAAACCCAACCTCTGGCCAAAAGAGTTACCATGTCCATATTTTCCCTCTTTTTGTCGTACTCCTTCCCAAGCCGGCTCCGCTCCTCCCAAGCAGCCCATGCCTCGGCTCAAAGGAAAGGAGTCTGACCAACTTCCTCTATCCCGAACTGCCGAGGGAAAGGCGGCTGCGAGAGGCGGAGGGCGGGGGGGGGGGAGGAGGAGCACCGATGTAGAGGAATTGCACCTGAGCTCAGGGAATCGGCTCCTCCCCGTCTAAAGCCTGGAGCTGTCTGTACAGGTAGATTAGCTTCACCTGTCAAAAGGCTAGCTCTGAGATAGCTCTCCCTCCCTCCCTCTCTCCGTCCCTCCCTTCCTTCCTTATTCTCCCTCTCCCACCCTCCCTCGCTCTCCACGGCGTTCCCTCATTGGAAGCACCGGCCTTAAGCCATGGCTACTTCATCTGGAAAGCAAGTCCCACCAAACGGCAGACCTCTGCCTCCAAGGGCCTTTCGAATAAAGATTTAAGCCTCTCTTGACGCTCCAGACGGGAGATACGTGCAAGATAGATTTGGTGATTATTTTGTGGAAATAATCAAATGCATTCTTGGTATTCTTACATTCTCATCTGTTTTGGTCTGAACACAGATAGCTACTCTGATGCAAGGCATTAAGACAACCTTGCCTTGGTGTTCTTTGCCTTCATATTTTTTTTTCTTTTAGTTTCCTCTTTAAAGGGAATAACATACTTTAACACATTTCAAAGGAAAAAGGCTTGAGGCGGACTCTAAATTAGCCAGAAACTGAGACAAGTTAATTGCACTTTGTCTAGGGCTAGGCAGAGACTACTATCCAGTCAGAATTAAAAATAGAATGTATCTTTATTGGTTTTGATGTGGTTCAAATTTTCCCAAGGAAACCAATTGTATTTTAAATAGCTTAACTAGAGTAGCTAAGAATAGAACCAAAGTATATCCTAATATTTAGTTTTAATAAGCTGAATTTATATATGAGTTAAGTGTTGGTCATATCTTTAATATCTCTGTATACCAAAAAACAATGGAGCACAATTTTTTTATTGTTTTACTTACTGTTGGCTTGAAAATGTGTTCAGGATTGCAGACTTTAGTGCAGACTTTTAATAAAAGGCAGGCATTCAGTATTGTTTCAAAGTTCCCGTGAGTCAGGAAAATGTTCTACCTGCCAAGAATGTGCTCATTCTGACTGGAGGAATTTGCATTCCCTCGTGAAGACCAAATGCATCTTACATTTCAATATACATTGAATATATAGCTGTCTGTAATGATGTCAGTACTGGTAGTCCTTAACTTACGGCCACAAGTGAGCCTAAAATGTCTGTTGCTAAATAAGATAATTGTTAAGTGAGTCTTGCTCCATTTTATAGTGTTTCTTGCCACAATTAAGTAAATCACTGCAGTTGTTAAGCTAGTTACATGGCTCTTAGGTAAATATGGAATTTCCCCATTTGCTTGTCAGAAGATCACAAAAGGTGATCCCATGACCCTGAGACACGGCAACTGTCATAAATATGAGTCAGTTGCCAAGCATCTGAATTTTGATCACATAATCGTGGAGAAGGCTGCAATGGTTATAAGTGCACAAAACAATCAGAAGTCACTTTTTTTTCAGTGCTGTTATAACTTCAAATGGTCACCAATAGAACTGTTGTAAGTTGAGGACTACTTGTACTTATTCAGGAGTTGAAATGATCATTTCAAATCATCAACTGAACTCGCTCAGTACATGAGGGACTGGAAGTGCTATGGGAACATTATGTGTACCACATGCTATCATGCATCTGACTGCTATTTCATGGTGCCTGGAGACAGAGTGGCAATAATAATAGTAGTAGTAATAATAATAACAACAACAACAACAACAACAACGATTGGAAGGGACCTTGGAGGTCATCTAGTCCAACCCCCTACTCAGGCAGGAAACCCTATACCATTTTGGACAAATGGCTGTCCAATCTCTTCTTAAAAACTTCCAGTGTTGGAGCATTCACTGCTTCTGGAGGCAGGTTGTTCCACTGGTTAATTGTTCTAACTGTCAGGAAGTTTCTCCTTAGTTCTAGGTTGCTTCTCTCTTTGGTTAGTTTCCATCCATTGCTTCGTGTCTTATAGATAAGCGAAGCCTTGGGAAAGATTGTCTTTAGTTCTGAATGGAGAGGCACTACCCCAGACAGACCCCATGTGCAACTTGGAGATTCTCCTAGACTCAGGACTCCTATTCAAAGAACAAATGGCAGTTGTGACTACGAGAGTCTTTATATAACTTTGGACCAACTGTGCCCTTTTCTGAATTGTGAGGCTGCTTAAGTGCTAATCCCAGTTTTGTTATAATGACAACCGGTCTCTTTCGTAAGATTAATTGTTGCTTTGTCCAATCAAAGAAAATGCTCCATTTCTGATCTTGGATCTATTCTAGCTACAAATTTATTTACACTTTGAGAGCAAGCAACTAAATTTCATTTTTAATGTGTGCCATTGTGCCCACAGTAAAAAAATGACAATAAAGGTCTATCTATCTGTCTGTCTATCTGTCTTCCTAAATATCTTTAATGCAATTATTAATATCTAGCCTAGGTTCACTGTTTGTGCCATTGTAGAAATGGCATCATATTGGAAAGACTAGGGATGTGAAAATATTTGAACAGGCCAGTCCATTGTTGGTCAGTTTATTAGATACTTTAGGAATCACTGTTGTGCCACACTAAAAATTAGGGATTTGTCACTCAAAGTTGATGGGTGGGACCCTTCTCATTTTTTTTATGCATGAGTCTGTGTTAATTTAAAATGTTCTGAAGCTACAACAAGTGTATTGAGGAAAATCTAAAGCGCTTTGGAATGACCATGGAAAGATGCCAATGAAAAGCAATTAAGGTGTTGTTGTTTTTTTTAAAAAAATAGTGCCATTCATAATACTGAAAGTTAAATAGAGCTTGAAATATATCATACATTAAACCAATTTAAATAGGTGGAATGAATGACTCCATTTTAATGACACTTTCTATTTCTTGACAATGAATTGAAGATTAAAGTCTACCCACTCCAATGGTTAAAAATCCAGGGTGGGTTGTAAGAATAATTTTAAGAAATAATAGCATAACATTTCCTTTTTTCCCCCACCTTCCCAAATGAAGCATTAAGTAATGATTTTGTGTAGCATGTATTATGAATAACATGCATTCTAAAGCAACAATTGACATATTAATTCTAAATGCCACAGAATTCATCTCCAAAAAATTTCAAAAATAGTTTGAAATTATTTGTTAGAATTGATAGCAAACCTGGCCATAAGTTCTGCCTCGGTTTACCTTCCCAGTAAGCAACTGAATTGGAAGATCATTTAAAAGCAGTTTATTAAGGTACCCTGATAAAGTGGGATCTCCCTATGAAAAAGAGAACCCTGAGACCCATTTTACATTCCTTTTTATAGTTAATACAACAAAGAAAGATAAAAGAGGAAAGTTGGTTGGACAAGATAAGAGTAACCCCTCCTTGCACAGTAAACCAACTACAAAGCTTGTTTGAAGTTAAATAACCAGATGCCAGTTGACACTAAGAAACTTTTTCTTATCAGGAGATAGTATCCAGATATCCTTCTGTAAATTATCTTTTCAATTTGGGAATGTTAAAAGCTATCTAATCAATCCATATAACCATAGGATAAAAGTTTTCTGACATTCCAATCTATAACGAACCTGAACATTATTTTAAAAGAGAGAAAATAAATCAAAGTAAAATACAAAATAACTGGGTTAGTTAACAAATTACAAAATCCATGCCATACACCCATCATAATCATATTTGTTTTTAAATACCAATTATGTCAGATTACAAAGACAATTTTTGTCATTCAACCAGATGAGGTCAGCATACAGAGGCTGAGATGTCATACAAGTTGCTACACAAATCATGTGAGTTATGAACAGGAAGTTGACCATGCTAACTTTTATACATGTACCTTTCAAGTGGTTTTGTATGTTAGATTGTTTGGGTTATCTGGGAACTAAACTACTACCTCAGGTGACTGGTAAAATGATACAGCAATCAATTTATTTTTTTTTTTAAAAAAAAAAAGCACATGGGAAAATAGAAAGCTTGGAAAAGAAACATAGTAATTTTTTTTTTAATTCTAATATGCTTCAAACCAGGAGCCTTCTATTTGCAGGACAAGAATTAGAGCCAGTGCACTAGTACAGCACTCTTGATTTTTTTTTAAAAAATGATTCAGTTGAAAAGAAGTTGCTCCTTCTGCAAAGCAGCTAATGAACTGATAGTATTGGTCTGCAATAAAATGAAGTGTGCTGTTCGTAATAGATGGGAATCTTGAGCTAATAACTTGAACAGCATATTTCAGAGGTAGAGCAGAAAAATGCACCCTAAAGTTATTCCAACAGTAAGTGGGTGATTAATAAAAGCAATATGGTTTGTTTTTTCCCTTCAAAAATGGATGCTTAGCTGTTGTGATGATAATATAATCATGTAATAAGGATAAACCCTTTTTATTCCTTTCCTTCCTTCGTCTCTGACTTGTGCTGTTCAGATATTTATCTGACTTATTCTCTCCCTATAAAAGAAGAGAGAACACTTATGTCCTGAATAAAACTTATCTCTGTTTTTCTTTCATGCAAGCACCAACCTCAAAAATACTTTTTTCTAGAAGGTGCACTCCTATCTTCAGGGTGTCTTTCCATGTATCCTTTCCATTGTATAAAGCTATCGGTTATCCAACCTGTTAGAACTGTGATATGACTGTAAACTACTCTCCTTTTATCCTTTCCCTGACCTTTGATGGAAGGTTGTCTTTTTAAAGGCCATTCTTTTCCTTTGTACCATCAAGAAACCTGAGGTACAACAGTTGTCATGTAAACCTATTTTCTGTTATAAATCTACCCAAGCAATAATATCTCCCCAAGACAGATACAACCATCTATTTCATAGATTTATATTGTGGGTAAAATATAATTTGAATAAGGAAAGTTTTCAATAGGCTAGAAGCTCATTTGAAGCTACAATCTAACATACTCACAAGGTTATCATAAAAGTAAATATAATTGTGAACTATGTCAACAGAATGCATCTGATTAGTTACAGACTCAAGTAATTGCATTAACATAATGTACTAAGCTTGGATAGGTTTAACATTGGTTAGAATTTTGGCTTAAGAGTGTAGTGTGAA